AAAAAATAATCGATGCTGGAAGCGTTACATTTAAAAAAAACTACCTGATATTTATTATACTCATAGGTGCTTATTTATATTGAGTTTCATGTCATTATTCATGGGAATGAAGAAGACAAATAATATAAATCTTTAGTGTTTTTCTAAAAATGTTAATTTATATTATGAGATTATTTTCATTACACTATTTTTATGCAATAATGTTAATCTATAAAATTATATTAAAATGCATTAATTTCTGATTAAATAAAAATACTTATGCATTTTTATGAAATTAGGTCACGGTAAATGAGAATATAAATTAGAAATTCAAGAATATTTCAAACAGGAAAGTAATGTTGAAGCTACTCATTCAAACTCATAAGTAGAAGTGATTAAAAATATTCCAGCTTTAGTAAATTAATTTAGGAAAAGGATCAAGGGAAAACAAAAAGTAAAATTGGGATGGAGTAGTGGAGATACTTAAGACGGATTATTTTTTATTCCTTTATCTAATTAAAGGCTCATGTTATGCCAATTTCATATTTTTATTTTCATACTTCTCTTATAACAATATTTATTAAAGTTATTATTATTTATTGAATTAGATTAGTCGCTTTCTGTGAAAAATTGTAGGTTATAGTAGGTAAATACATTTCTTTAAACGTTATCAAATCCCTTGTCCTTACAGGATCAGTACCTGGATAAACTGTGTACGTTGCATGCATTCCTATGATTTCAACTGACTCGCCGATTTAATTTGGGGATTACAGTTTCTAATTAAATTTCCATTTGTGGGTTTTAAACAAATCTTAAAGTTAAACATGTTACAGTTGGTTTGTGTAACTAAGAGTATAATGGCCTATAGAAACCGGAGAGTATAAAGAATTATTATAGTCTTAAAACGAGTTAATTTATTAATTCGTGGAATCCAGTAGTAGACAGATAATTAACACAATTTACTTGGGAACTAACTTACCTCCATCAATATATATATAGTCCATTATTATCAATCGCATAAAAATATATTTATTTTCTACAAAAAAAATTAATTACTTCTTTATAATTATTTTTGTATCAAAATTTGTTAGGATGGATGAATTCTTAAAATATTAATAATATACTAAACTCGCTTCAGTGCCATTGCTGAATTCCATGACTTTCATAACATAAAGAAAGGATAAAAAATTGTCGTCTGTAATCTGGAATATGGTCTACCTGTGTATCATATTTTATTTAAATCTACTTAGTTGTCATTGTGTGGATTAGCAACAAAAATTCAAACATTTCTATAAAGTTTTACATGTATAATACGAGTATATAGTACGAGATCTTTCTCCTTCTATGCGAAGGTAATAGAAAGATTAAATGAAATACGACCATGACTTATTTCACTAAAGAGGGTTCTTTTCCGACTTTTCTGGCAGCAGTAACCTAAAAACATCAATAACGTAAACGATAAGTCACCTGCCTGATAAAATTGAACCCAGGTCCTTTTTCACTGTATAAAAGTTTTATCGACATTTTGGACTATGATGATTTGCAAAAATAAAGTGTTCCATGACTAACAGTTTTCATATCTATAACGATGGATACATTAGCTACGGTAGCGTTAAATGATCCCAAAGTAAAACTTTGTTTCAGCAACTACAATTCCGGTTAACTAAGCGGCGTAGTTACGTCTGAGTACTATATTTGTAACTATGTTTTATTGAAGCAAGCTCTGAGGTGCCAAAAGAGATTAATATTAAATGAAATTTAATTTAAAGCAAGAGTTAACGACTCGCCGCTTTGAAAGTTTAATCTGTATAGAAATACTCAGTTGACGAGGTGCTTAAATTAATGTATTGAATTTATTTTAAAATGCGAGCCGCTTACTCGTTACTTAACCTACCAATAATTTCTTCTTAACAAAGATTGTCTAGAGATTTCAATTGTCTCATAAAAAAAATGGATTCCCATTGTGGAAAATTCACTTATTTGGATTTAAAAACTAAACTACTAAATCGGTTTTGATAAAATTTATATGAGATCAATCTGTAAGTATATCCTTTCAAATAAAAAAGAATTTTCTAAATTAGTTTACAACCGACGGAGTTATGAGGTAACAAACATTTTTATTATACAGCTTAGAATAGCAAACAAGCTGACGACCCACCTGACGGCCCAACATAAAAAAACACAAGAGAATTGAGAACTTTGTGAAGTCGTTTGTCCTACTGAACGGTACTAAAACTATCTCTAGAATATTTAAATTTATTTATACGTACCCACCTTATGATGTATTATATTGTTGCAGTAAATGAATAGATAGTATCGATTTCGCAAGGAACTTAATTATGATTAAGAATTAAATATAAAAATACTACGCTGGAGTAGTATTACGACAAGTGTAAAAAAATATCGCTTTCCGCTATAAGTACTTCGTAATTTTTAATAATATATAAAATTATTCAGGTATTAAATTGATGAGAAATTCGTAATGAATGAATAACCTTTCAATTTGAATAACCTCTCAATTATCTAATATATTTTTGGACCCCTAATCTTTGCTTGCGACTTCATATAATTGGATTTTAGAAGTAAGTAACCATTTTAAGACAGTATGTCAATAAATATATATAAAATATACTGATATGATTTTAAGTATGACCTTTAAAAATATAACTATGAAAACCACATTCAAATTGATACAGTTGTTTTTTACCTTATGCCGGTACAAAAATACAACAATCAGACAAAAATTCAAAAAATATTCTTAGGCATATATGTTTTGCCTTTATACTCGTATAAAGTACTCCTCATATATTTTCTTAAATATCACTTATGTAAAGATATCATCTAGTTATAATTTTGTTACATGTATATAGATAGAAACGGTGTGATACCTGTTTTTCATTTTTCACTTGTGAAAGGCGGAAGCGAGGGCGCAGCAGCGGCGTCAAGGGCCATCGAGCCGAGAGCGTGCTACCGTGTTCCGCATGCGCCTCAAAGCAACTCTCCTTGTTTCATTGTGTCGTGATCAAAAGCGCAAGAGACAGATATTATTATTGCATTTTTAAATACATTTTTATTTAATGTTGAATTTAAAAATGAAATAATAATGAAATGCTAGAAAAGGCAATTTTTACTAATTAACTTGTTAAATACTAATAATTTAAATACTATTTTTTTTATTTATTTCAAGTAAACAGTTGCATAGACAGTATATATACTTAGTGCTGCGAAACTGCATTGCAGTTTGTCTGCAGCTTTGCGCTCATTGTACATACAGCTTTTTAAACAATTATAAACTTATATTCTAATCCTATATACTATACTTATATCTTTATACATACATATAAACAGATATGCATATATGCACATACATATACATACAGACACACATGTATATACTAAACACTGTTTGATTACGTTTGAATGCGTGAACAAATATGAATGAAATTTGATACACAGACAGGTTAAATAAAATAAATTTAAATAACACTGGACACATGTGAACTGGAAAAACTGATAGAAATATTTACTTTCTTTTTTTATAAATACTATCATATTTTATAGAAATACTCATACTTAATCACATAGAGTATTACATTATATTAATATACGTGGGCAAAGTCACTCGAAAAATATAAAGAAATATAATAAACATGTAAGAGAATTTGTTACCTCTTGGCGCCTTCATAATTTGTCATGTAATTTAGTATATACGAGTATGTAGTTAATTTTTTTTCATTGCATAAACGCGTTTAGTTATTATTTGTTGCAATAGTATGTATTTATTAATCTATTAATATTATACTATGTATTTAGATACTATCATACAATATTTTTACATAAATAAACTAATCAAATATAACTAAACAAAAAGTAAACATTTGTATAGAAATATATAATATGGATATTAATCGAATTTGATAATTGTTTTTCAAAAAAAATATTAGGAAATAATCATCAAATTTAGTTTGACGAAGATTAGTGTTTAATTTGGTTACAAAGTAATTGATACTGTAATTTCTTACGTAAGAAATAGACGAATAATATTCCAGAGAAAGAAAATCTTGGTTTACGTTTATTCTTGAATTAATGTATGAATATATGTAACAGAATAATAAAGTAAAGCAGAAGCAGGAATAGAAAGTTTTACTACAGAATAACAGCCACTATTAAGTATTCTACATCTCTACTAGGAAGTCTACGGTATAGAAATATGTAAATACGTTCTCATAGTATTGATAATGTAAGTAGTTTTAAGTTGTGATTTAAAGCAACTTAATTTGTTATCACTCTTGAATATAATTTCGTCTTATTTTTCTGGTTATTTTAAATTAACTTACGGTTCGAATAGATAACTACATTATATTTACAACACAACAAAGTACTTAAACGAGATAATCTTTCGCTTTGACCAAAAACAGCATTAGGTCGGATTTAAAAATCTTTTTCCTAATGATTAATTAGATTTATTCAGCTTTTAATAATCTTATAAATGACACTTAAGATTTCTGACAAATTCGAAGCTGTTTGTTTTTATTTATAATGTTTATCTTTGAAAGAAAGAAATGTGTTGTAAACTCATTATTTTATTCACCTTCAATAACCACGTTGCAAATATTTTGGCTTAAGCGTCTTCATTGTTAGATACGATAGCAAGATATAAGGCAGTGAAATAATTTCTTTCATCAGTTTCCATTTCAATAATTTTCCTAATATATATATATATATATATATATATATATATATATATATATATATATATATATATATATATATATATATATAATGCAAGAATACGTATGTCTTTTCATATTGGTCTAGTAATTTCTATGTATAAGTAACATTTACACACACATAATATGTTTATTATATGTAATGCAAGTTTAATTAATTGTTTAGTGCCCGTTGTGAATTCTGTATAGTTTAAAACTATTTTGCGTCTGATATATAGAGTTAAATAACTTAGGAATTAGTATAATAAGAAAGCATTTCCCATTATCCATGTTATATTATTTTATCATCAGATATCGGACGATGATCGCATGTCTCTGACAACTGCGGTGTCCGACGAAGAGGATCCTGGTGAAAGCGCGATGAACTCGCCGTACAAGGGCAAGCAAACCGGCGCTGCTGCAGCTTCATTCAACTGTACTGGTGCAGTCAGGAAAGCTGGGTTAGTACTTTTTTTTAATACAACAACGGTAGCAATCATATTTTTGACTCGATGATAAAAACTCTCCGTCTGCAACACACTTTGGGGTAAAATTCACACGTCACCATCTCATACGATACGGAAATCTAGATACACAGGTTACACAGAAATTTCACTGCTATATGTTATTCTTCAAACCCAAATCAAGCTTCCTATTAAGTGAAATATCTTGTCTCTTCAAGCGCACCAAATTTAACATTAAAGAAAAATAAATGTCTTCTATATTTTAAACATAAAAATGTATATAAATTCGTTATTTTCAAACTAATCGTAACATGGATTAATTTCATATAAGAGCGATAGGATGAGATATATAAACAATAATTATTATGATAAAAAGAATTGCACCAATTTATACTAGAAATATCTAACCTATGTATGATTAAATACACTATATATACATATTATATTATTGAGATTTCTGACATTGTTTCTAAACGTGTAAATTATAGCATTTATCTTCCATGACAATAACATGTCCTGTTTGTGTTTATTTAGGACATATGATAAATGAGAACTCATAGGACATTAATAATATCTTCTATTTCAGTTTTTTTTTATTATTTATAATATTTTTTCTAATTAAATCAAGTTAATTACATTTAAAAAAATTCTGCATTTTGAACATCCAAACAGTATTAACTATATTATTTGAAAAAAACTTATGAAGACAGAAAAAATCTGTGTTATTATACAAGACTATTTCTTGCAACTTTGCCCATATGAAATTAATATCTATCTATCTTATGTACTAACCTAGGGTATAATCTACTCATGCACCAAGTTTCATTCAAAACCGTTCAGTAGTTTTTGCGTGGAAGAAAATCCATTCTCTATTCTTAAAAACATTCGAATTTATAATATTAATAGGACATAATATTATAAAATTACAATTTTGGGCTAATATGACACAAAATTTTTTTATTTAAATAAAGAATTTTTCTGTCATCAAAAACTTAATATGTCCTTGTGATTCTGTCTTATAGAAATGTAATATACCCTACTGACGTTGATTCTAATCGTCAAATTTCTTACTTCAAATCTTTATTTATAAAGTATGCTCAGATAATTTTTTTTTTTTGTTTTTCGCTTTTACTACGATCTATATTAAAGAAATAAAAAAAGGTAAAAGAATACAACGGTTTTCTTCCAATTTGGCTGTGAAGCTAGCAATACAGCATCACAATTTCTGTAACTCTGTGTTTTTGTGATAATAAATAAAAAAAAATATTGTTGATATTTTTAGGCAAAAGTTAGTAGGTATAAATTTTTAAATGGAATTTTGCACAGACAATATTATAAAAAAATACTTTATTTATAAGTACCTAGTTATATTTGCTTTTACATTCTTCTGTTAAGTTTATAAATACTGTAAAGAAAAAAGCTGACATAGTATTATTAATATTATAGAATCAATTTACTATACCTAGTCCAGCCATAAGTTCTGTTACAAATGAATATTAATTTTTTGTATGATGTAATGTAATGTTACTAAAATGTATACCTACATATTTATTAAAGTTTCAACAAAAAATAAAAAAAATATTCTATTCGAAATGGCTATCTTTGACTTTTATACAGGCCTTTAATCTTTAATCTGTATGACCATGAATCTATGGATTTATGCACTGTTTCCAAGGGAAATTTCGCCACTGCTTGCTCCAAAGATTTCTTAAGAGACTCAATGTCGCTATGTTGTTTAGAAATGGCTATGTCCTCTAAAACTGACCATAATTTTAAGTTTAAAAAGTTAAGGTCTGGGCTAGATAAGGGCCAGTCTTCAGCTCTTATAAAGTCCGGAATGTTAGTTTCAAGCCAGGCTTGGGTAGTTCGTGCTTTGTGACAGGTGCAGAGTCCTACTAGAAAGTCCACGGTATATTTTTAAAAAGTGTATTGCTGAGAGATTTCACAACACGATTCAAGATTGTGTCTTAATACACTTTAGCTGAAGTTTCCACTCCTTCTTCACAAAAAATTTAGTTTTGTGACTCCTTGATAAGACACGCCCAACCAAACCATTACTGATGCAGGATGATGACAACGTTGTACTTTTCCGACCACTTAACCAGCTTCTTTAGAACTGTGAGCGTACACTTAATCATTTGTCTTATTGTAGTTTTCTTCAATCGTGAAAATTTTTTTATCGATAAAGAGGATATTTCTGTGCCTTTCACCTACATATCGCGACAGAAGGCGTTTTGATCGATCCACTCTCTTTAATTGTAAAGATTGTTTTAGGGTATGTCCTTTATATCGACGATAAACACCGAGCTTCAAGTCTTGTTTTATAATACGCGAGTCCTAGCGGGACTCTTCATTTCTCGTGATAAGATTTTTTGCTTCCTAATGGGATTTGTTTGATTCTGGCTTTAACAGCATTAACACCCTTTGTAATTCTAACACCACTCGGCCGCTACGGTCTTTTCTGGTTCTCGACAGAGGAAGTGTTGTTGTATCTGTTGATAGTACGATATACGAACATACGATTGATACTAAGCTTAAGAAGAGTCTGGAATATGACCGACGGCTCCATACCCAATTTGTGTAAGCTGATCACTGCAATCCCATTTTCTTTAACACCTCATTCCATATTGTAACTTGATAATGAACATGAAAAAATATGTGAAATGGCGCGAAATCGAAAGAAGTTTTTAAAATAATAGACGTGTACCAAATTCCAAATAATTAAAAAGATTTAGATATGTAGCATGATCCTATTTATTTCTTCTTAATTAAATAAAAAAATAACTTTATTTAAATTAACAGATTAAAAGGCTAATTTATTATTATTAATAATAATAAATTTATTCCTATTATCTGTTATTTTTGTAAATATTATTTTTTTAAACTTTTTCCTGTCTCTAGCTTCGCCCTACGTTTTTACAGCGACGTTGAATGGGTCATGGTTAAGATTTCCCTCCGGTCATTTGGGATTCATGGAAGAGAAATTGTAGCCTCAAGGAACATAAAGGACGCCGTAGGCTTTTTCTAACAGAAACTCGTCAGACTTATACGACATCCTTTTATTCGTTCGGTTCTATTTTACATACATTTATTTCGAACTAGCTGCGTTCTCGATTTCGCCTGCGTAAATTCTATACGTGGTTGTAGAGTCAAATGTACAAAAAATGTATGTTCTATTGTTAGAATATTATATAATATATTATTGTTAGAATCATTTTTTATAATATCCTTATATTACCAAAATATCCAGAATAAAAAGTAATTAATAGTTGATTAAAATAAATTAATTATTTATTTTTAGTTATATTTTGAATTTGGTTAATTTTTAGTTGATGATAAAAGCTTGATGTTTATTTAAGATTATAATTAATCGTATCACTATTTAGCAGATTTTCTTTAATTTAAATCAACTTAGACAAATTTATTAATCAAATACCGGAAACAAATCCTCCCGGAACAATTATATCGTTAAACTGTCTAGAGATAGACATTACGCAAAACCAAATTAATTACAGCATTTAAACTTTTTGCTAATGTAGATGGCTAATAAAATGAGCGCTTAAACACCGCCTCTTTAAGCAATAAATTTTTTATAACATTAAAATTTTGTGTTATAATCTACACTTTCATTTAATCATATGTAATTTCAGAGTCCTTTTAGTCATTCTTATAGATCTAATCTACTTATACGCTATATACCTACACAGTCATTCTTCTATATGATAAATGGCTTTCTTGCTTCATTTCATACAAGGCAAACAGAGCACCCATTTATTATTTGTGAGGTAGAATTATGCTTCTCCACAAATAATGATGTTATTCAAAACATACATCTTAATATATTTACTACATACATAAATTAAATAAATGTACAGTAGGTATAATATACATAATATACTCTAAATCTATTTTAAGTAACAATATTATTCAAAAATTTAAGCTATTTATTAAAAATGTATTCACTAGATTTCCTTATCTCTCCTGTACAAGAAAAACGAGACGTAGTAACCACTATGTGTTGTTTTTCTTGGTAGTCAAGAGCTATTATAGAATATAACTATAGCTATATTTAAATCTTAACCAAACTCTATTTTATGCTTCTGTAATGACAGTTGTCTTTTTAGAATAAGAATAACAATGTCATAAATATCAACAAATGATTGACAGCGAATCAAAAAGAGATTTTTTTGATTAAACAATTAAAAAATCTATTTTATTTACGTTTTCATTTAAATTATTGTAATATTTAATGTCTGTAGTTATTTTTCTGATATACAATATATTACATAAATTTTTATAAATAAAAGTTACACGAACAATAATCCAGTATGAATGTAAAATTATGTCGAGAGCTGAAAACCCAAATCCGAGTATTTTTCGAGTAAAAACTAACTTCAAAGCAACTAAACAACGAAGTCAAAAATGTACGCCTACTCCAGTGAACGTTGTTATATGGGCAATGAAAATCCTGGGAAAAAGAACTCGAGGAGTACCTATGCATAAAATTCGGTCTTTAATAAAAAAACATTTCGTGCTGCCATGTAAGAAAAGGGATGTAGATAAAAAAATTGACACAACTATTAAATTTGCAGTATATTTTGGTGTACTTGAACAAGTAAATAATTTATTTTTTTTGAAAAGATTTAATTTATCCCAAACAAATCTAGAAAAAGGTGGAACAAAATAAATGAATTTATATTTTATTTTTGTAGGGCGTGCCTATTTGTGGAATATTTTTGAAAATATAATTTTGTTAGATATTTTTAATTTAAACATAATTAAAAGTTAATCAGATTTTTTTTGCGCCTTCCTTTCTATTGTGTGATTAATTATATTTATCATCATTATACTAACTTCTGAGTTACATACATACTTTAACTAATGAGTTACATAAATATCAGTAATTTGTATTATTTTTTTACAAACGTTACTTACATGTACATTACTTCCACAGACATAGGTATATATATATATATATATATATATATATGCAACTTAGAATGGCAAACAACCTGATGGAAAGTGGTCACCATCGCCTATAAACATGAGCAATACTATGGACATAACAGAGTATACTGTTTCGCTCATGATACCTCCCATGCGTTGCCATTCCTGAGGACTCAGGTGTACCGTAAATTCACTGCCATATCCCACCCTACAAACCGAAACACAGTCATGCAAACACAACTGCTTCACGGTTGAAACATGAATGGGACAGAGGTGTCCAAGCAAATGATTTTTGTACAGTCTCTCTCTGGAAATATTTGACTAATAGTTACGTCTCTTTTTTTGTTATGGTTAAATATGGTTTATACATATAATTAGAAAAGACGACTGACCGTTCCTAATGACAGTCTGTGGAGGAGGTTTAGGTCCAGCACGAATGGCTGAAATAATGGTGATAACATCCATAATAATCTGACATTATACAAGATAGGATTTTTATGCTTGAATGTTTAAAAATCCTATTTTTTAAGGGATAATAATGTAATGGACTCTTGGTATACGCTAAGTACCAGTAAAAGATGATAAATGAGGCTGAAGTCAGATCAGATAGCCCACATTGGATCGAATTCTTCAGAAATTAACCACAATATTTTCCAAGAGGAACCATGCGGATCTGATAGAATATATTTCTTTTCCTTCCAAAAAATCCTTATCGATCATTTGAAACCAGATGGTAAGAACATTGGATGGTCTTTACTGGTTTTATGATAATCGATATTCTATTTTTATACCTAACAGTCAAAAAACTGTTGAAAAAAAAAGAGGTTAGAGTACTTATGAAGGTACAAATAATTAATAACTTCTCCTACACTTTTCCTTTAAAATGTAGGAGATGAGACTCTAACTAAAAACTTTAAACTATGTTATTTGTAATAGTCTATCTGTTAAAAATACTGGTTTAAAAAACCCTAAAATATTCTTAGTCTCTTATTTGATATGTAATTTCTTTTTTCTTACGTATTCTATGTTTTTTCAAACAGTTTTCTAAGTGTGAAGAAATGGTTACTACGAAAGAAGCATCAAATTGAATTGGCCAGAAAACGAGGGTGGAAGGGCTATTGGGTTTGCTTGAAAGGTACTACGCTACTGTTCTATCCTTGCGATTCGCGAGAAGGACGCTCAGTGGAAGCAGCACCAAAACATCTCATCATAGTTGATGGTGCCATCATGCAACCAATACCTGAACACCCGAAACGAGACTACATATTCTGCCTTAGTACAGCATTTGGGGATGCTTATCTCTTTCAAGCACCATGTCAGGTACGTTTTATTTTTTTTTATTTACTTATATTATGTTTTTAATTCAGTGGTGTAACTTTGAACTGAGAGGTCTCCCAGTAAAAATACCAGTTAAGTTAGTTAAGAGGCATTTACTGGCATTTTTATATTTGTACTTTTATAGTAGCAGTAGTAGCATAATTAATAGTAGTTTCCCAAACTTCGGGATGTCAACGTATCGTCCACTACGCCGGTAATGAAATTGAGAGGAAAAAGAAAGAGGAACTATGACATCTTTTTTAAAATCCTTTTTAAATTTTTAATAAAAGATTTTACAACTAACACAATTTAATATCACAGGTGGAGCTTGAAAATTGGGTGAATAGTATACACAGTGCATGTGCTGCAGCATTCGCGCGTCACCGTGGGAAAACGGGAACACTACACCTACTGCAAGAGGAGATTTATCGCCTTGAAAAAGCTATTGAATCCGTAAGTTTGTATAAACCATAATTATTATTGTAATATGTCATTTGGCAAACGCAAATAAACCAAATCTTTGGAAGCTTCGTACTAAAATGAAAATGTGCTGAAATAGCACACTAAAATACTGCTTGACCTGCATCGACCTGAACTAACACAGAACCATTGTTCGACTGACACGAGTCTCTTAACTACGTTCATAAACCGATCTTTTGCTGATATGCAACTTTAATAACAGGTATAAGTATCATTTATATATATTATCGTTTCTCTATTAAGTATTTAAACTGCAATATAGTAAAATTTTATCTAGATAAATATTGCATACGAATTATGGAGCAACGACGTAATTCGTACGTCGAGCGGGGATAACTGGATAAAATTGGTAGCAAAAAGCTGTAGATCGCATTTAGTGGCATGCATTAGGAGGACCCTATATTCTACAATTGATTACAATGATAATAAGTCTAAAGAAATTTTTAATATAGAAAATTTCACGTAGCTCTTTTCACTCAGCAAAATAGTTCTCTCGAATTGTCCTTGAAATATATGTTAATATTTGAAAGGAATATGATATTGAAATAAGAAATAATTTAGTTTAGTTTAGGTGACATATCTTTATAAATTCTTCAAATCTGATATTATATTGATATTGCAATAACACGTACAGATCGATATATTATATATCAGTTTTGTCTTCTGTTTCCATAAATATGATCAATATACGCGTATATAACGATTCCAGTTTCACGAGTTTTAAATTTTAAATTTACATAATCATTAGGATGTGGTACACCACTTATTTTAATATCATTTTTTAATTTCTTAAGTTAATTAAAATAATTATCAATTAAAACTCTCACAATCTCACAATATCTTGTCTTTTACAAAAAAGAATAAAGGAGTTAGATATAAACCTATCATATCCAACTCCTCTACTTTAAAAATTGTATAATCCTTGATAGAATTTCTGTCGGCGTATAAGAGTGTATATATATTAATAGCAAAAAAAGTTTCCTTTTACCTATTAGAAATATACGCTGGGTGTAATATTGTCCACCAAATATTAATCTCCTTAAAGCTCTATTACAAGTTAAATATTAAAATTAAGAAATAAATTGCTAATATAGTAATGTATGTGTTTTATAATATACCAAGTTATGAAGGTATTATTTGTATCATAGCTTGCGATTTAATACTTAAAAATATGTAAAATACTTATTAATTCCATTAAAGATCCATATACTAGGGAAGTTACAAAATATATCATATAAGAATTTAATTGATACATAAAAAATAAAACTTGATCCTAAACTAACAAAAATGACTGGTGGCTCTCAAAAATTTTCGAATTTATTAATAACAATAAATCAGTTCTCGAGACTAATTCTCTGATTAAAGGTTCTTTAAATTGTCTTCAGATATAAATGACATATAAAAGATTGTAATAGGTAAATAGCTATTCGTATTTAAAATAGATACCTACATACCTACTCATAACGTACTATATATTGCTGAATTAGGCTGACACACGCCATGTGGTTTACAATGATCTTCGTGCAAATCGCGGCAATTTCTGACCCGCATCGAGTGACCGCAGTACACATCAAAGCCTTTGCGGTCCTCTCGCTACCTATATACTTATTGCACGTGATGTGTATGTAATATAAATGAATATTTTAACAAGTTCTAGATGCTAGTTAAAGATCATAATGATACCTGACCAATAAAAAATATAATTTCTATACATTATACAATAATCAAGCTCGTTCGTCCACTCGTTTTACATAAATAACATTCTCAGTGCTTACTAAAATTGAAAATAAAACACAAATGTGTTGCTAAAATATATTAAAACAAATTACTAAAATATCTATAAAAACGAATCTATCACATCATATTTAACAAAATAAAAAAAAAGTAACAACGATTTTAATTTGTAATTTAGTGTTATTCCTACATTTTTTATCAGTCTCAGTAACTAGGTTTTAATAGATGTTAGTGGAATGGTAGCTGTATCTGCCATATTTAATTTACACTAATACAGTATCTGTGAGGGATGATTGATGTGCATGAAACCCATTCTACTTCTAGCAATGGAACCAGTAGTCTACATTACTGACAATATCTATCCTCCTTAAGCGAATAGGTTAAAATTTATCCGATAATATTTATCGCTAGCAATTTTGAAAATAGTAATTTACCTATTTATTTAAAATTGGATCCATAATTTAAGAGCAAGACACGTGCTTATAGTTTAAAACAATCTATTTTATCGCCACGATAGTTATCACAGGCAGGTATGCGCTTATTAATATTCATAGCGTCCGTCGACTTCGATATTGAGTTTTAGGATCGGCAACGCTGTAGTAAATATGTATCACACATGATGGGATCTACTTTGAAAATCTACTTTTAAAGTTTTTATCATTCAAAAACAGTACTGTGATTCTGAATTTTAATTATACTGTAATTAAGTATGTGAATAAGTATGTTTTATATCTTAATATTTTTTTAATGTATTTTTATTCATCGTAGGATCATAAATTGAAACACATGGCGGATTTGCAACAATCAGTGGTGTCTGATCCAGAGACCCGTGCACAACTTGCAGTTCAAATGCTACAATGGGAGGAGAACTTGGAACGATTACACTGTGAACAATTCCGTCTAAGATGCTATATGGCTAGTTTACAGTCCGGTGAACTGCCTAATCCAAAGGTAATAATAGTGAGTCGTCAGAACGTAGTTGCAGTATACAGTTTTATTAAATTATTCCACGTTGTAACTTCTATGTTTACATTATTTTTATTATTAATATTACTACTTATTGTAATATATATATTTCAATACAATAACAAATAAAATTCATTTTTTCTTAATAAAGACTTAAAAAGTTGATGTTAATAATGGAGTACTGACATACGTAGTTATTTTAGAAAAATATTAAAATAAAAAGTCTATAAATAAAAATATTACTTTATTTCAACAAGTTCTATATTAGAGACGTTGTAAAAAATTGGTCTGAGTGGATACCTCTATTCTATTCGTTTCTGTCGTGATATTTTTGTGCTTGCACGGCTGTATTTCGGTTTGACGAATGGGAATAGCAAAGGCCTCAGGATTGACAACGCATGAAAGGTATCATGGGCAACACATTATACTCTGTTATGTCCATGTTAATGTTCATATTCTATAGGCGGCGATTAACACTTTCCATTAGGTAGGCTGTCAGCTTTTTTACCATTTTTAGTTGAATAACAAATTACAAAGAGAGATATACAAAAGCCCATGTTACATGTTTTTTAATTAAAATAAAATCTCTTATGGTAACAAAAGTTATTAGTAATGTAAATAATATAGAACAACATATATTTATATAAACTATCTCGCCAAAAAGAACGAACGCGAGTTGTCGAATTATTTCGCAGAGTTGACGACGAAAGGAAATTTGTTGGAACCGCTATCAAATTGACAGTTCCGCTGACCGGGAGTGCAGGGTTAGAATCTGTTACTCCACACGACCCATGTCAAGGCACGTCATAAATAGCTTTCTAACACAAATAATAAAATTGCTGACAATACATATAAAAATGAACTTGATTAACGGATATATCAATATCCTTTAACGAAAAACTTCTTATTTCCGTATGTAAATGTTAAGTTCCAAATATTATTTTTATACACTCGTTTGCAAACAAAACGGCTACATCTGTAGTAAAATAAAACGATATCTTTTTTTAATTTATTTTAATAATATTCTATTATAAGTGAATGGTTTATTTACATCGTGCGATTTAATATAATATTTTTTATTTATTTTGAAAATATTAAAAGACGACGCTAACCACTAAGAATTAGAAGTCACGTACAATATTAATATTATTAATATTAAAACTAAACTCGAATTTGTGAGAGATGTCAGATTTAATTTGTGAGTTCTCAAGAGATTTTTAGAGTTGATAAATAGCCAAAGACCTCAAAGTTATTCAATGAGCACCGTTTTGTAAAGTTGAGGTTAATCCAAAATTGTGCATAGAGTGATATATTTAGTTAAGTTAGGAAGGCCCTTAAGTTTTAAATCTAATTTGTAAATAATAAAATAATAATGGCAACGTACAAAAGGTATCATGGGCGATACCGTATACAGTATGTCCATGGTCTGTTCACATCTATAGACGACGGTTACTATTTTCCACTAGGTAGACCACCAAATTGTTTGCCATTATAAGTTACATAAAGAAAACAACAGTTTTACATTCTTAGTAAATAATATTTATCATGTTTTATAGTGTACAATATAATTATTACTTAAATATTTTAAAAAGTGCCTTTTTTTGCAAAGGAGTAAATTTATCGGACGCTGTCATTAAAATGCCATTAACTCAAAAGATAGGAACATCTTATAGTTCCGAATTGTATCTCTTTTGTATTTCTACAGTCACTCCTGACGCATGTGTCTCGTGGTACGAAGAGTACACTGAATAAACTGGGCGTATTCACGGTGTCATCATTTCACGCATTCATATGTGCGCGATCACCATCGTTACTCAACAATCTACTAGCAGGTCGGGGTGCTACAAAGCGTAGAGCACCTAACCTCTCAAGATCTAATTCCGGTTCTAGTCGACGATCTATGCAGGTACTGTACATTACTAAATAATATAATTATACAAAATTTTATCTTCGAACAGAAATAGGACGACTGTCTTGTATGAATGCCTTTTATCGTATAATATAAATTAATTGGCATCACGAGCTAAACATAGACAACATTATTAACATTAATGCTACATTTCCATAGAAAATTACCATAAATACATGCCGTACTGCTCTGTATAACGTTGAACTAGGTTTTGTAGCATGTAATGAACTCCCCAATAATTCGTCTTCATTATACATAGACTTTAGGGATTAATAAGGTTCGGGAGGTATTTTGAAGTTTTAACTTATTTATTCATACTCATGTTTATAAGTAGTTAGTAAAAATATATTATACTTTATTATTTACTAGTTTTTACTGACAACTTCAACTGCACGACGAAAAATGGTATCTCAAGTTGTATTAAATTATAATTTGTAATAGTGATATATAACGATACTCATTCATATTTATTTATATATACATAGATAATGTTCAAAATGCATGGACAATAAATGGACAAAATTTACATATTTAATCTTACTAATATAATACTTTGTAGATGATATCTGTATATGGGAGTTATTTAAGAAAAAATTAAAAACAATTGTAAAAGCTAAAATAATAAAGTTTAGGAATTTTGTCTGTTTATCTGTATTTTTGTTCAAACATTACGCGAAAACTACTACCCCAAATTGGATACAGCTTTAACAATTGTGACCCTGAAGGTCGAATTTAAAAACTGGCACATATTTTATATTGATACGCTATCTAAAAGTGTTCTGTTCCGTTGTTTTCCTACTACTGAAATCCACGTATACGAAGTATCGAGCAGAAAGCTAGTTTGGTATAAAACAATAAATAATAATAAGTAGCGGATAGAAAGTTAGTCTAGAATGTACATTTTGATTGTAATAGAAACAGCTATAGATAACCTTATTTTTGTACGAACTGTCTAAGGCGTGATTATAATTAATGTTAATAAACAATACCAACATAAAGAAAAAATACAAAAAAATCTGGCCGACTTTTTACTTGATATTTACATCGCGAATACAAAATCTATGAAACGTCATTTTCTGAATATCCGCTCATATTACTTTCTGCTCCGCATTACCCTATTTCCGTAACCTCATTTGGTATGGCACATAAATGTTACTTTCACTCCAGAAATTGTTACTTGGTAAGAGCCATATTTTTCTCATATTACGTCACAAACGTCAATCATTATAGAGATTCATACGATATCACTATATTTATGAATAACGAATGCTGTATCAATTATTAAATACTGAGTAAACAACTAAACAAATTAATTGATGTTGGCTTTCAAACATAACTCGATCACTTAATTGATTATATTAAAATTGGTCTTCGCCCCTTTCTCAAAAAGTTGGTAGAAGTTATTTAGTTACGTCTATGTAATGTAATCATCAAATCAAATCTTAAATACATGTTGATTGACTTGAAGAAATTTCTCCAAAGGATAACCTTACTTTTTTACCATTACCTATTAATACTAGTACTTATATATTTTTTGTATGATGACAACAACCACATTGTGGTATATAATGTACATATATAAAAGACAACCATATAAAACATTTTTTTCATTTCGATACAGTAGTCTAAAAACGGTCTAACACTCCTCGAGAATGTTTAGAATTGAAACATCAATTTCGTTCTCTTTGAAAAAAATCAATATAACAATAAATAAAGGTCGAAAGTGAGAGGACGAAGAAAAAAGACAAATTATAAAATGACTCTCCAATTTGTAAACTGATACGAAATTTAATATCCTTACGAGCGCTACTTACAAATTACTTCGGCGTTTAGAAGACTGAATTAAAAAATAGTATTTTCTTATTTTAAAAATTTCAAGTGTTCGTACTATTTTTCATATAAAGGACTCAAATTTATGGATTCTTTGTTACATTCTAATAGGCATTTGCCAAATATGACTTTAATAAATTATAACTTTAATAATGTCATATTTGACAAAAACTGGAGTCAATTACAACTTTAATAAGCTTTTATGAGTTTCTTTCTCTGGTCCCAGTAGCATAATCAAAATTTATAAATTAATTTGTCTTACTTTTTTTTGTTCAATTAAGGTGAAGTTTAACATAGAATATAAGTCGAATGATATTCAATTACTGTGATATTATGTGATTGGTTTGATGAGAGAGTTAAAAGGTGATGATAGGAACTTTTATTATAACAATATAGGCCCTTCGAATTGGAACTCTATGATTTATCTCGATGAGTTGTTGGCTGACAGATGTTGATCGGGGTCGAGTCAGATAGGATCATAAAGCCTGAAGGTCATAAGATCTACTTATAACTGACATACTTTAGCTGATACTGTTATGTAAAAAATATATTTGATGTAAAATAAAAACTAAGTATTTGTTTTTTAGAGTAATCTCCAATATATCAGCATAGCACATATATTAGTAAGTCTCATAATAAAAATGGATATTATAATCTTCTCGATAATAATATGCTTTTGGATAATTCTTCTAAGCTAAATAATATATGATGTAAGTACTGTAAAATATTATTATTTTACAGTACCTTATTATTACTCAAGTATGTTAGTAAATAGTCTAGGATAAAGGAATAAACTTTTTTACATCGTTGTTGTATTCACACAACAATATCCGTATAAAAGTTTGTTTCTTTGAATAATTTTATTTGTAGCAATGGATTTGAATGAATTGTATCAGTACCTACATACTGAGTTGATGAAAACAGAGAAAGTATGAAATACAATACGATTATTATAAATTATGCATTGAAACAAAGCTTTCGTATATACAGTGTAGCTGTCAAGAGAACTGGTTCAAATATGATGGATGAAAATACCCACTTTAGTAATTCTCTAATTTTCTTTTATTAGTAACACAAATTTTATTGATAAAAGGAACAATAAGTTATAAATAAAACATTTCAGAATATTCTAGAGTGTAGCATGAGGTTAAGAAAAACAAAGTAAATATTAAAATTTTAAATAAAAAATATATTTTAAAATAAACTTTTGTAATTATACCTTTAGTTATGACTCCATAACCAGAGCCTGATCTCAGTTTATTAGCCAACTTATAATGGGTTTTTCATATTTTCACTGGTTATTATAGATAACATAACAAATCTAATTCTGAATTCCAAGAGATCGGTAGCTGACAGCTAATGTTCTGGCTGTGAGTTAGGTCAATCGACCTATTTTGGTTGCGGATATACAAAAATATGACGCTGGTGACTTTTACGTAGATGTCACGTGACGACGGCGAAGCGGCAGTTCGAGTATCGCTGCCAGAAGGCACAACGGCTACTGTAGGCGTTCGTGAAGGCATGACAGTAGAAGAGTTTCTAGCAGCAGCCTGCGCACGCCGTTCCCTTAACGCGCTCGAACATTTTGTACGCGTAAAGAAACGACGGGATATGGAAGATCACAATTACTTCGTGCCACATCGCAGCGACCTCATAGAAACTTATGTGAGTAACACAGTTTAAAAAACATTATGACTTTAATATTAAATCGTACACAAAGAATATATTATGCATATAGGTGATATTGGATCTACTAGACTACGTATCTTTATTTTACGTAACAAATTTACCACAGAAAATTCAAAGAAAAAAATAAATCCTTCATGAAATAAAAATAATCTTTATATGTGGTGACGTCAAATATGTTAGATATTTAAATAATTACTTTTTATGTATTGAAAATTGAGCTTACCATAATAATCATAGTAATAAAACACTATGCCACGTTTGTCTCTGAAAATTACTTATAATACATTTAAAAAAAATTATAATATTGTTTATAAATTTATTTTATTATGTTTATCTATGTAAACCATATCAGGGTAATTTTTAAGAAGTGATTACTACTATATAGACAAACTACCAATTTAGTTAAATTACATTAATTCTCTTGTTTTAGACAAAATAAGTAAATGAACAAATCGAGTAAAGAGATCGTTACGGTATTGTCATTGCTCTAAAACAAGGGGAATAATTAAGTTAATTACGCTACGCCGTCTACGACGTAGCCCCAGGAGAGCGATTTATTTAAAAAAAAACTCATAAAATTTACATTTTCATGAGAAACCTGGAGACAGAGAGTCACGTTATTCTATTCCTTGTGTAAAATTAAAATATCAGAATGACACAGGGCAAAACGTGGGCATATTTTTTAATTAAATCGTCCTAGCGCTTCTCTGCGGAAGCAAGTGAATATAAAAATATATAAATGTTTTGTTGCCGAATTTCTTGTGAGTAGGGTCTGACAGGGCATGCCTGTATTACGTCACCGCTCGTATACTATACGGCATACAGCATGTTATCATAGAGACTACATAGATTGCATCTATTGCTATTGAGATTAACAAAATAGAAACATTTACAATCCCGATTAATTAAGGTTAAGTATTATCTTCAAAAAACTTCAAAAACAAAAAGTTCTTAAATTGAAAATATTATTTACTGCTTTTCTCTGTATATATTACGTAATATCTTCGTCAATTGTGAACTGGTTTTGATAATATATTTTCCAAAGAAAGGATTTCGATTAAAATGTGAGCGGTCCTATGTCAATGTGGAAGTTCTTGTTTTATATGAAATTGCGGAAGACGAGCATGTGATTTACCTGATTGTTCATTGCCTAACAATCAAATCATGTCCCACTGCTGGGCACAGATACCTTCCTCTAAGAAAAAGTCATAAGCCTATTGTTACAAAGTAACTACCTGTAATAAATACAAAATACCTGCCTAATTCACTTTGAATGAAACGAAACAATTTGTAATCTCTCCTATGAGCTTTTCTTTTCGAGTAACAATTCAAATTCAAAAACAAATCAATATAATTTGTTGTTTTGTTTTAAATTTTCTTTCCTAATTATTTTTTATCCCTTAGGGTTTGCTTTGATTAAGGTCTGACAGAATGTGGATTAGGCGCCTTTTAGCGTATCCTTCCTAAATTATCCTAAAAAAGTCAACTAACAAAAGGTCCTTTACGGTACAAACCTACTCTCCATTTTTTACATTTCTTTATTATACTTTTGTATTTAACTAAATTTGTTTATTTAAGACAAGTGGTCTAGTCTAATTATCTATTTTAATTTTCGAATTATGATTACTGTCACTAATATAAAGATAAAACAAAGATCAAATAAAAATATAGTAGGATAAGGTAGTAAAATGATTTAATACAAAGTACTTATATACGTACAAATACCTAAAATTATCAAGAATGACAATGCTCAGTGTAAAGTACTCTGTTCTATGGATGATTTTGTTCATGATAGGCATGAACGACGGCAATCAACTTATTTTCAATTTCAAAATATACAATATATGACATAAGTTACTTAGAACCTTATTCAAAATAATACGACTTCAATTTATTTTATACTTATAAATATTCTTATCCAATTACTTTTAAATTAGTACCCTAGGTACCGATTAGAGATAGCTCCCATAGCCAATACTAAACTTGATGCGAATTTTGAAAAGATGCTAAGTTAAATATTAGTTGGACATACTTTCTTGCATTCTTTACATTGAATATGTGAAGAAAGCAAGACGATATATCCAGTTTACGTTATACGATATAACCAAACGTTATCCTGATTGCTGTATTCAACGTATCTGTTTGATGCATAAAATAAGAGTTGATTTAATATTATTTTTTTGATGTAAATACATAATGTAGATTATTATATTATTTATAGTATTTTTACTTAGTTACATTATTTTTCTATCTCCCATTAACCATCAGCTTTCACATCTTTTCTTTATTTGACCTACTTAGCATTTATTTATGTTATAAAATAAGTGATCGTATTTTTCAAAAATCACAGCCCAATGGGTCTTTTTGGTTCCTTGTTTTTTTTTCATCTTTAGAAATCGTTATTTATCACATTATAATAAAAATATTATATCATTAGTTTCTTTTAGATTTATATTGCTCTTTACATGTACGTTTCTATTTTGTTGTTTAGTTACATACACATGAAGTAGTGGAAGTGTGTGCCAAAATTTTATATCAAGTGGAGCTGCAACGTACAACTCTCGAGCAGATGTGGGGATTCAGCGTGGAAGCCGAGCTTATAGAAAATTCAGAGAGGCAGGATGAACTCTGTTGTTACGTTAGCAGAGTCGAAGACAAGAGCGTCGCTATGCAAAATGGTAAAAATATGAATATGTTTTTGTGGCAAATTTATTAGCAATAATAGTTGCAAGCAGCAATAATAACATAATTTTAAGTTTTATTTATTTTAAAAATAAGAAACAAATAAATAGGTGTTATAATGTATATGTTTATATAACATAAGATCTAAAAAATAAATTTACGAAACCTCAATGCGGTAAAAATGTGGCGATAAAACATTTAAAAACGTTTTGTTCTTAATTTATATATTATAATTTTTTTAACTTCATCATCATTCACTGCTTGATATGATACTGTCGTTTATGATATGATACGTTTACTGTCCTTTTGTTAACGCAAGATAACGATAGTATAAAAAAGGGATAAATAAAATTTCTGGTTTAATTTATCTTCTTGATTAGAAACATTTGGTCTCTGTTGTCGGGGATTTGTTTTTGAACTTCTTGTTTGAATAGCCGTAAGTGGATAATTTAGAGAGCCATGAGAAGCATATTTCCAAATGGCTGATCAACTCGGTTAACTTTGACGAATGGAAGCATTATACCGCGTCGCTGCACTCGCCGTTGGTCTAGACCAACTGCGGTAATAATTAAACTATTTCCTACTTTACCATTTACTAACAGGTGCCTAGTTAAATTCTGTTATTTAAATTAGATAATTTGTGTGGAATGGAACAAAATTGAAAGTTATCAATTATCAGTTTATGACAAAATAAGTATTTTTTCCCCAAGAATAAAATGTTCGTCACTTGTTTTACTAAGCGTTTAAGTTACACATGAAATTTATACAAAACACTTTAAATTGACATACCTAATTTATAAATTAGGTATGTAAATTTAAATATATATAGCAAGCCTTTGCTTATAAACTTTTGAAATACCATTTTGTTTATTTTAGGCATCTTTCGCGTTTCACGAAATTAATCAAAATGTTTTTTGTTGCGATTACAGTCTTTAAATAACCACAATACCTGTTTATGTTCAACTTTTTTTGATTAATCTACAAAAGGTATAAGAAATATTAATCGTAGTTACGATTTTTCCTGTACCAGGCATAATCAAAGGCGACGAGATAATGGTGATCAACGGAGCGATCGTATCTGACCTAGATATGATGTACTTGGAAAGTGTGTTGCAAGAGGAGCTCTCCCTCGTCATGATGATGAGGTATTTACAATACTCGCATGTTATTTTCACAAAAATATTTCATCATAATATTATAATCTTTAAAAAACATTTTCCCTAAAGTTAATAAATTTATTGATTAATTATTATTGAAAACAAACGGAACAAATAATTTTTTCAATATTGAGTACTTCATACACCCGACAACTTTAAAGTGTTAATATGCACGAATATTTTTATTTTATCATATTTCATATCATTATTCATATCAATAAAATTATTTTCCAGTAACTATTTAGTGTAATAAACAGACAATGAATAAATCATTGTCAAATGAAAATTTAAGAAAATATAATGATTTTGGGGAAATTGAAATGGCATTTCCCGAGAATTTGTCAAGACTGGGAGTAATTTTATTCGACTAGCATACCGTTTATTTTATTTCCATGTTAATGAGAATTCGCTGATCGTCAACAGAGTTAACTGCTGTTCATTAATCAAACGATCCGTCGGGGCGCATTCGTTACCATTGAATTAGAATAAATCTTGGTAAATGGAGCAAAACTCTTTCGGTCTTAAACAAAGTTTAGCATTCACAGTATCAAAAAGGAAACAGGTAACCGTACGCCTAGCACTTAATAAAACGGAAGTTAAATTTTGCGTGGTAGTGCCAGGTGGGTAGAAAACCTTGTTCATCGACATTTCTCCCCCTCATATACCTGACCTTTCGCGGACACGACAAGTTTACTGAAACGCTCATTGTGACCTATATACATTCTCGCCCTGCAACCGTTCATTACGGCACCACCGCCCACCGCGCAGTCGATGCACGTCCAACGTGCGTAGGTACCTTACCGGAATGTTGTTAATCAGCAACTGATGAAATCCTTAACTACATTATAATAAAAACACATCTAATTAGTATTTTATTATAATCAGATCTCATTTTAATGTAATATTTTCATATTAAATAATAATTATTTAATTTATTTTTAATTATTCTCTAATATTTTATCTAATATTAGTAATGAAAAGGTGTACTTAATCCATGATTAAAATTAATGGAATCGAAAAATATATTTGTATATATAAAAATGAGCATAAGTTTTAATAATGCAAATTTACTTTAATAAATACATAAAATACTATTTATGTGCTTCTAAAAATAAAATATAATTCAATCGTGTAAGTAATCGAATTCAAAATTTCTTATACTTGCTAAGTTTATAAAAAAACATTTGTGTTGCAAAAGTTTGAAATATAAATATTAAGTAATATCACAAGTTCCCCTTTCTTTTAGAAAACATTAAAATGAAACACGGGTTTGTCATTATTCTGGCTTCAAAATATAATCGTTAAAGTCGGTAGGCAGGTGACATAGTTTGCTTGTCAGGAGTTGGCAACGCCACCGTGCCCCGCGCCGAGTCCATTGTGACCGTTGGAAATTGAGCCTCTCGACGTCACCGCGCCGCTGAATTAATGTTCCTCTACAAATGTCATCTCGAAATAAGTACTCGCGACTCAATATTATTGTTCTGAGTTATATCATCTCTCAGTTCATATGATAAAGCTGTTCCGGTCGTAAGACGGTTGCTTTTATTGTCTTGTTGAACATGGCGGAGTTTGCAGGAATAATTAAGGTGTTATTTGGCTAATATCTCGAGAGTTTCCCCCACTTTATGGACACAAACGATAACATCATCTAATTTTGTTCATAATATCTGACATTTGGGTGACTTTGAAATAGTTACTTTGTTCGTTATAAATCTTTTAAACAGCATTCATGCATAGTATATTTGAATATAATATTTTCTTTGTAACACTTATCTATATTGTTATTACTTGCTACGTTAAGCTATTGAATACTACTTGCTACAAAATTTATTATTTGTATTTCTTATCTTTCTCTCTATTATAATTAATTAAATAATGTAAGAAAATTTTAATTTCTCCGATGTTCTAAATATATCTAAACGTACACATTTACAACTTTGGCAAAATTACTGGCCCGTAGATAGAAGACATTTTTCATTTTCAATATTGTATTAATTAAAATTAACTAGCTATGAATTGTAAAATAAAATTTGATATAAATTTTGATAAAAATTATTTCTTATAATGTTATTAAATTTCTTCATCCCTAAATATTTAATTTCTGTATGCTGTGAGGTAAAATATCGACTATGACGGTAGCGGAATAATAAATTACAAGTCAAAGTAGATAGTAATTATAGAGGATGAAATACTGAACATAGGCGATTAAAATATTATGGGCACAGGTCTTCACGAACAGAGCCGCCGGAGCTGTCGGGTATGATGCGCGCAGCTACTGACGATATAATCGATTCATTGGTGTGCCCACCGCCACCCAGCGAGCCGCCCGTCATTTCCGATGACATGATATCCGGGCTCATTGTGCCAGCTCCAGCATGGAGTAAGTAAAATGTCTCATTTCTTAGCTTTATTTAAATAATACCAACCCCGCAAGACAAGTAGCAAACTAATCCATAGACACACAATAAGACTGTAATGTTTAGTGTCTTAGTCATTATAATGCGCGCTATAACTTAAATATACTCGTATCTATCGATGGATTTGTTTGCCGCTTATCTAGGTCTGTATTGTTATTCCAAATGGTTTTTTAAACATCATCAATATCCTTTATAGCTTATAAAATACTACCCTATAGGTAATATTTTAAATCTTAGATCTAAATATCATATTATTATATTATTAAAATACAATATTATATTATTAAAATACAAGCTTTTGCCTGCAAGATCATATGCATGAATTTTAAAAGTAGGTAACAACTTCTAATTTTAAGTTACACCTTCAGGAGCACAGCTATAAAAACTGCATCAAATAATATGTAGTTGTTTTTGCATGACCCACAAAAAATGTAGACAGACAGACAGATAAAAATTCTATAAAATTTAGTTTTTGCTTCTGCTGCTCTTATAAGATCCCTCATATCAATTTATCTTTAATATATCCTTACGTACAGGCATTGTCTAGTTACAATTTTATTATATTAGTAAGATTTCGGTTGAAATATAATTTACAGAATATGTTTTTTTATACGACTGAAAATGACAAACATACATCCAACGTACCTCATGGCGAGCGATAAACGTCACATACATATATATCTGTCTCGCCTGTCTCCCATTAGGGTAGGTAGAATAGACATGTTTATACATACTGGAAATGTACGATGGTGCTTCTTAAATATTATTATTATATATTATATTATATATCATAACAATAACCTAGCTTGTCCTCCAGACTAAAATACATTACTGGTACTTAAAAAAAATAAAAGGATCAGCATATATTCAATAAATATAGACATATCTGTAATAATTATTTTGAGTATCATAAAAAGAACCACTACCATATTTTTTTTGGATTTCAGTACTTGTATTATAACTTTGTCAGAGATTGCGATCGTAACAATAGATTGATACAGAGTCATTTTCTTTTATGGACCAATTCGTGGCAACCGTCCATATCGCATGTACTCGTGTTTAACTAGATTCGATTTCAACCAACCACAAAATCTCAACCTATTTTCTATAAATGAGTATACATTGGTATTGATATTATTTCATCAACTCCTAGTGATTATATGTCGCTACTTAATATCTACTTAATAGTATTACAATGAAATATTCAAATTATAATATCTAATTATGCACAAAAACAAAACGCTATATCTTGTTTAACGATGTAAAATCTTTTAGTAAATTCGTACAAATGTTATATCATTATTAAATATTATTTTGAAAAAACATCTTGCTGTATTCATTGAATATAAATATTATTATAACATCTGTACGCTCTAAATAATATAATTTATATACTTATGGACAGCATGGACCTACTAAAGAGGAAAATGAGACCCAATCCAAATTTTTCAATTTTCCATAGGATTTTTCAAACACATTTTTTTCGAACCTTGTTCTAGCAATTACAATATAAGAATTAGCAATATAGGTGCAATCGTTCCGAAGTAATATGCTTATATACTTTTGGCAATTGCTTTTTATTTATATTGACTGATATACCATATCTAAATAAATAATGTTATACTGTGAAATGATGAACTTATTGTTCTATATATTTTAAATATTCAGCTGGATATTTTATTTAACGATGTAAAGTATTTGAAAATGAGGTTGTTTCAGTAAACTGCATTTATGTTTCTGAACGTTTATGAACAATGATATCCACAACCAATTAATTTTACTATTTAAATGATAAAAGAAGCCTCTTACATTTTCAATAGAATATTGCCTGCTAACTCATTTGACTAATAGAACAGACAAATACACACGCAGATTTTTTTTTACAAATTCTTCTTCTGGTTTCTTAATAAATTTAAAAATAAAGTTAACCTGTTATTTAACACAATTTCAAAATAACCTTAAAATTTCATTGATACCTAATATTATGAATAGAAAGTAATCAAAGTGAGTATTCCTTGCGAAATATAAAAATTCTGAGAAATTTATTTTCACTGCTCTGCTTTTTCCTCTTTCCTTATGTCATTTTAATAGAGATAATTTTATTGTGACATTTATTATTTAAAACCTTCTAACGTCTATGATGATTCAATTCTAGTACTCGTATATGAATGAATTTATTATTTGCGAAATATCTGTAACAAAGTGTATGTACTACAAAAAGTAATTACTTCGATGTATCGATTCGCCCTGTTATTGTCATTTGTTTTATAAGAGTCGACGAGAATATTGTAGCGAGGTTTTATGTGCGCTGCGCTCATAGCAATACGGAAGTGTGGTGACACTCGGAACAATGGTTACCTTCACACACCCACCCGCAAACGCGTTATTATGACATTTTTTTATACAACGAGACGGTTATTTCATTCTTCTAATGAGGCGTATTCAATATTTTTAGCAAATAAATAATTTTTCTCTCATTTTGTTCATCCTACGCTTTTGCAAATAAAAAATTCGTCTATTTAGCATATGTTCTATAATTGTATATTTATGATACAAACAGTGATATTAAAATTTATTTTTAAATCTAACATATTTATTTCATTAATATTTCTCATTATTAAATTTTCATTTCCATTAAATTCATTGTAAACCATAATTTGTTCAAATGAATTAACATAAAAGTAGGTGTTCTATGACATTGTCAGATATGTACTATTTTTGAACCAAATTTCCTTTGTAATTTAACGGAACATCTTTAAACATTAAAAGATTTAACCATTTCTTCATAAACTTTTATGTTTAAAAAATTTGTAGAACAAATTTGCTGGATATTTTAACAAAACGTCGAATTAAAAAACCACAGTTGGGTAAAGTGTTGTGCTAATTTCAGAACAGAAAAGTCCTTCAAATAAAGGCCGTGACCCAACCCGGAGCTGTTTGCTTGTGCTCCGTGTTGACTAACTGCGACCAAAAACTCATTGTGAAATTCTTGTTACAAAACTGCTTTCACATAAATTTTTTGCTGTTTTTATAATCTTTGAATCATATTGAAAACTACGCTTCTTTTGATAGCAGTCGTATTGAAATTTTGTGTAGCTTTAAAAGAACGTATTCCGTTAATTTATATCCATTCGTAATATATCGTACAGATTTTGATAAATCTAAAAACCAAAATTATTTCACTTTAGAACTGATGGAATATTCAAAATGAATGTGCAGTGAGGTATTGTGATATAATTAATATAAATCTATTAATACTCAGTGGAATATATCAGCATTAAGACTCATTTTATTCTAATCACTTGTCTATCTAATATTTTAATAATAATATTACTAGTATAACAATTAATAAAAAAAATGAGTTATCTGTGTAATACAAGAATAGCAAAATCAAATTTGTCAACATTTGAAGACTTGAAAACAGTCGAGAAATAAATTTCATAAATTTTTATACTGCTAAAATAAAAACAATTCATCACGTAAATATCCTGATTTTAAGTTCTATATAACGGGGTAAAGCTTGTCTTGGTTTATTGATTTTACAATTGGCAATCCTAAACAATATTGAAACAGGTCTTCCATATGGTTGAATTAGAGGGATTAGTGGAAATGTAATTTATAAAATGAATTACAATTAATGCATTTATTATTCAGGTAAAGAACTGTATAGTCCGGATGCAGATCCGCACGGCGGTAGCAGTGAAGCAGTCTCCAGTGGCCCTCCAAAAGTCAGTTCTCGAACCAACTCCTTCGAGATTGAAAATCTACTCAAGGTATTTCAAAAGAGTATACAAATTACATTAGAATCCTCATCTGTACAGCTGTGACTTAATTCCAGATTCAATTATCCATTTTCCTGGGACCGTTTCCATTTTATTTCGTTACGATACCCGCATGGTAATGTCTCTCTCGAAAATAATAACTGTCTCTAGAGAATCAAATGGAACACAATTTAAACCCTCTTATTATGTACCTATCTGTCCTGTAGATTGTATCCAATGTTCTTTGAAAGTACCGTTAGGAGAGATTGTCAAAACCCTTTGTGTAAACCACACTTTGTGCTAAACTTATACAGTTAAAATAAATTTAGATATTTTGAAATAATTAAAATTGGTCAACTTACAAATTAATTTTGATAAGAATAATATTAAGTACTAACAATATTCTGCAGACTTACCTGCATGAATTAGAATAAAAAGTATCCTATATGTTAATTCAGGATGTAATTATTTAATTTATATCTTCTCATATTGGATTGATATTTAAACTATATCCTCTATAATACACATATTTTATGTAAATTCATGGAAATAAATCCGCGAAATACAACTAGTATTATTATATTTATAACCGTAAAAATAGTCTAGGTTTTAGGGGTGAAACTTTATTGCGGTAATTTATTATTGTACCAATTATAATATTTAATGTTAGTGCCGAATTTATACGTTTATTCCACATTTTGTCAATTACTTACTTACGTTATTTAGTATTAGGTATTATGATTGCAAAGTGTAAATATAAACCCAACTTGACGATTGTTGTGCGTTTTAATAAAACAGGTCCACTGAATCATGACACTCAACATAAACCCTCTTTTTTGTCACCTAAAACGTGGGGTGGTTTATTACATAAATGGTTATGTTTAAATAAAGCAAGTAAATGGATAAGGTCACCTAGAATATTCTTCTAAAAGTCATTTAAAAACAGATTTCATGTAACCACTACACTAAAGAATCGTAGTAAAACAGTGTGAAAATGAAATAGAAATGTGGGGGTGTTCGTGGGCAGAGCGCTGAGCAAGTGACGGGATGGTGTCGGTCGCCGGCGGAGACGCGGCGCGGCAGCCCCACGGGCAGCGTGGCGAGCGCCGCCGCCGGCACGCCGTCGCGCCACCTCTCCGACGCCGATAAGCTCAAGAAGGTGCTGCTCGAGCTCGTCGACACTGAACGCGCATACGTCAAGGTAATTACATCTTTTCCATTAAATTATCTATCTTTCCATTATATATTCAACCAAACGTACTTTTAGCTAAGTAAATTTTGAAACATCTATTTTTTAAACCAAAAGTAAGCGTCCTTTTTTCAGTGCTATAAGTAAGCGCTCATTTTATGCCGGGACCATATGACACACCTGTGGTCCCGGCATAGAATTGCTCACTATATGGTTCAGATTGATGACAACGTGGTGGGCTGGGTTGTTAAACTCCCTAAAATACTTTTTTTTTGATACCACTGATGTGGCAAACAAGCATACAGCCCACCTGATGGTAAGCGGTTACCGTAGCCTATGAACGCCTGCAATACCAGAGGTATTACGCGCGCGTTAAACAACAGTCTGTAGATACTGATTTTCTCATGTTTGCTTGTTTATTTTACATTAAATAATATATATAAATACAACTTAGTGCTAAATATACTTATAGTACCCATATAAATGTAAAATTATCTTGTACATAAATAATATGAAAAGAGTAACTGTTGAACTTCTTGCAGGTTCTACTTAGCAACAATAATAACAACATACCTAACTTAACAGTAGAATCATAAAAAATACCATTTAAAAATTTTGCTAAATATTTTTAACAGCTTAAGTACATTTATTAGATTATTATTTCCGTTTTTGTGAATAGAAAAGTAGTAAAATTATTTTTTTTACATTATTGGATGATTTATTTTATTAATTGGCATTTTTTTAATTATTTTATATATAATATGATTATAAATCTGTATTTGATTTTAAATCAAGTTATATTTATAGACATTTTTAGAATTCAATACAATTTTTAAATATTAAATAATTAAATTTGTATGTACCTATATTAACATAAGTAGATATAATAATATATATGTATATACATAAATATCTAGTTTTAATTTAATTTAATTTTTAACAAGTATAAGTTTTATTTATGCAGTATATTTAATTATATTACTTACTATAAAGTAATTTATATAAGTGTGTATGCTATATATATACCTTTATATACATATATGTGTATTATATTCTAAAATTATAATGGATTGTTGATGAAACAATTGAACAACTGTGAGTAAATTAACATACAGAATACAACAAGGATAGTTATATATTTATATATTATTATAGTCTCTAATGATAATTTAACTAAAATCAGTATACACTCCTTTGATAATCTAATTACAAACATTCCCATGACGAAATATTTCCATGTATATAGCACATTTTGATAGACTCCGTGTTTCAAATAAATATTCATTAATCTGAAAAGTTCTGATGGATTTATAAAACGTACTTAAAACTTTGTAAAATCAGTCGCAACTGTGAGCGCACTTATATACTTGATTAAATATTCATAATCAAATACATATTTAATTCTAAAAATGACCTAAAGAAACTTTCGTATTTAAGTATTCTAATTAAAAAGAAACTCTTACAGCACCTGAACAACTTACTCGAGAACTACCTGGAACCGTTGAAAAAGGAAACTTTTTTATCAAATGCCGAAATAAATGCACTATTCGGAAACATACAAGAAATCGTAACATTCCAAAGGCAGTTTCTACAAAATTTAGAAGAAGCTCTCGAGGCAGAACCAAATTTCCACCACTTCGAATTTTCAAATCAATTTAGAGTAAGTATTTCTCACATTACATCTCACATTTTACAATAAAGATGAGATGATTTTGAATATGAATAACACTTTTTGTATCTTTTTTAGAATGTACTCTTCGCAGTTGGCAACGCTTTTCTATTTTACGTCAATCATTTTAAGTTATACAGCTCATTTTGTGCTAGTCACAGTAAAGCACAGAAAGTTCTACATCCAAGTAAGTATTTTAACTATTTGATTTCAAGAATTATATTCTAATGTTTTTGAAGATATTGAGCGTTGATTTCATCAGTTATTTTAAAATAAATGACCTTATTACAAATGACTAACTACAATTATATGATTTTTTTTATAAACATTTAAGGATTGTTTAATAGTGATCCATAAATATATTTATGTATTTATAAATAGTATATATTATATTAAAATAATACTTTACCTTAGTTGTCATTAAAACAGTATACATATAATTTGTATTTAACAAAGACACATTTATTTTTATCTAGATGAAGGTAATCAGGCTTTACAAGAATTTCTGGCTGCTAGAAATCCTAAACAACAACATTCATCGACTTTAGAATCATATCTAATAAAACCTATACAACGGATATTAAAATATCCTTTATTACTACAACAATTAAGAAATTTGACTGACGTTAATTCTGAAGAGCATCTACATTTAGTAGGTAAGTAATAATAAAGATCCAATGTAACATGACAAACCCATATATATTATTTAAACAAACAATTTTCTCATTGCTAATACCTTAATACGTTTTATAGAGGCTTTAAAAGGAATGGAAAAAGTTGCTGAACACATCAATGAAATGCAACGAATACATGAAGAATATGGTGCTATATTTGATCACTTGTTTAGACAACACCAAAAGTCTTGCAAGCAACCTATAGATCTAAGTCCTGGTAAGGAAGATCTCAATATTGCAGTAGAATAACATATTTATTATTTCGCTTACCCTAATACAATTATTTAATATTTATTTTTAATTTTCAGGTGATTTGTTATACTACGGTGGTGTAGAATGGTTAAATATTTCAGACTTTTTAGGAAAAATAAAGAAAGGACTAGAATTACATGCTATGTGCTTTGTATTTAAATCAGCTGTTGTCTTCCTATGCAAAGAAAGACTGAGACAGAAGAAAAAACTAATGGTAATGGTCTTACTTATTTGTACGAATTTTCAATACTTCGTTTATTCCGTTACACGCTTAAAATTTCCCCGAACATAAATAGATCTAACTGAACACATATGGATTTATATTAGTTTAAAAAATTTTAAACTAATATTTAATATTTTCAGGGAGTATCATCAAAGAATAACTCGAACGAAGTAGAAATCATCAGGTACCAGGTTCTAATACCTGTCACTGAAGTACAAGTGCGTGCATCCTCCGCAAAAGATATGGACAGTCACTTTTTATGGGAACTCATACATCTTAGAAGTCAACTTCAAAGGCGCTCTGAGAAAGTTTACGTTTTATCTAACAGGTATTTATATAGTATATCAGTATATATAAATAATAATTCAAAAAGTAGATATTTGTTTGAATGAATTAATTGAAAATTATTACTTGGCACAGGAAGATGAAAGTCCCTATTCCTACTTTTTTTATGCATGATAATGAAATGGTAATCTCTCCCACGCTATCGGAATATACTGACGGGGCACCAGTGGGGGATGATAAGTGATTAAGAAGTCAAGTCAGTTGGTCCATCGCGAAGATTTTGACAATTAATCACGATGGTTTTCAGGGGCAACCGCGTGGAGGCCGACCTGACCGGGTAAATTGTTAACAATGGGGATTGACGATAAAAGCGTTTCAAAATTTATATGCTAACTTGTAAAAAGTATTCCCTGAGTCAAATGTACTATGTCACCAATTGTATAAATTTTATATATATTATAATTTCTTTATTGCTCAATCAGCTATCTAAAAAAGCATAATTGACAATAAAAACGCACCGAGTGCAAAATAAAAATACTTTTTACTGAGTACAGGTATAGAGCACTCTATGCCATATTTTCAAAGTATGACGTAAAGTCGATCAGTTTGACTCTTAATGTATGAATTAAATGAAAATATATTTGCAAAAATATAAAAAATAGCTATAATTTTTTATATACTGATATTTTGATAAGAAGATTATACCTACTAATATTGCTTAAGTATCTACTAATTATGCTAGATACAAAAAAAGATCATATCCACCTATATGATATAAGATCTCGCAAAACGAATACCCTATATTTACTATATACAGGGTGAAATTCAAATCATTCAACATCATCTACTGGACGCACCATGTTAAAATGGGAGGCTTAAATATATTTATAGTTTTTCCATCCGTAACAAATGTTTATTACTATTGACTACGTACATTGGTTGGGCTGTGCAGCACGGCGGATTTCCGCAACGCGTTCCTGAAGACGATACGGCAGATAATCCGCGAGTCGGTGCGCAACATGTCGCTGCCGAGCACGCGGCCCGCGCCGGCGCCGCCGCGCGCCCCGCACCCGCCGCACGCGCCGCACACGCTCGACCGCGACCGCGACCGCGACCGCCCCAAGCATCAGGTATATTAACAATGCATGTTCCAATTGCATATATAGATATTTTCAGACATATCTTTCACATAGCTGAAATCTCTGCTACCATCCTAGAATGGACACCAAACAATTCTGAGATGGCACGGAGAAATCTTAGAAATTTTGGTTTTACTTATATATGTAGAACTAAAAAATGAAAAAATATTATAAATTCATGCATACAATAAATAATCAAATATTTATATAGTAATACTGTGTTTTTCCACTAAGGTTCAAGTAATGCAAGGATCCCAAACTCTCGGCAAAACGAAAAAGCCCAAGACTACGGGGCAAAGGTTATCAGCTGGTAACATAGAGGTAAATACAATTTATCTATACGTACAACTTTTATCTTTATACATACTTTATACAAGTTAAGAGACAAATATTGCTTTTTAAAGGTTGGTGATCTGTCACGAGAAAATTCTCAGGATACAGAAGAACCTCCACAAGAAACAACTGACGAAGAGCCAGCTTTTAGACATCGTAGCAAGACACTAGGTGATACCACGGGTAAGTACATACATTGTTAGAAAACGTTCTCTCGTTTTATTCACTGACACCTCATTAATGTGTTACTAATAAATAAGTACTATTCGATAACCTAACCTTTTGTTTTAAATATTAGAATCATTGAATTGTACTCATATGCGTGTATCCATTAAATCCATCACTTAATCCTAGACTATTTATTTACTAAATCAACCTGCATGTTTCCATAATCGTATCTCAATTTTTAAATATAAACCTAGTTTATTAATTATGTAACTATTATCACTATATATAAATTGAGAAACGATAAGAATACACTAACGCATGGTCATTTGTCGCGAGTCTAACACAAGCTTGTGGTTCCGCGCGGCAGAGAGTAATGCAAAACGCGCGCCGCCGCCTCCACCACCCGACGCTGACAAGTCAGACCCAGGCTCCAAATCCGAGGGCGAAGATGAACAGCCGCAGCCACCTGCCAAACGAGGGTTAGGCAGAACTCCCAACCACCTCACGCTAAGGTACCAACATATGTATGGGTTACCATCACAATCGACCACACTACCTACACCATCGCAAATTGGCACCAATCTCCTCACACACTAATAAATTAGACTAACTCAAAATTTATATACAATGTAGGTCTGTTCGTTACTACTCATACATATGTCAATACTGATACTGTTATCTATTTTAAATATAATGTTGTGCTTATATATATAATACATTCCATTCGCAGTACGACGTCGACGCTGAGTGCTGGCAGTACTGGCAGTCAAGCAAGGCTTATTCAATCATCCCATCAACCAACTCAGTACCAACCCACAATGGTTAAAGAATTAGGTAAGCAGGAGTCTCAATCTCTTAAGTCCTCACCTGAGAGAAAGAGTTCATCAATTTCTGACAAAAAAATAAAAGTAATTCGTTCGTGTAGCGGTAGTAGCATTAACAGGGATAAATCTCCGAATAGATGCGGAGATCACGTATCCCCTGACAGAGATCGCGTCACCAAAGTTATTGTTTGCAAATCTCCAAATAAATCTAACCTGAAACAAGTTAAAACTCTTTATCGATCACCAAGAGGCAGTTTTGATCAATCGAAATCTCCACGAGGTTCTATCGATAAATCTCGCTCTCCACAGCAAAGTTTTGATGGGTCTAGATCACCGCGTGGAAGTATTATGAAATCACGCGAGAATAGTATAGATAGATCGAGATCTCCTAAGCCGGTTCCCAAAAAGGGCATAATGCGAACGCCACAGGCGAGTTTCGATAGATCACCATCAAAGTCACCAAACATAAGTCGACGTTCATCGAAATGTAGTGGTGAAAAGTTAGCTCGACTTGGAACTAATTCTTTGGATAGAATGACACATTATTCTCAGTTAGCAAAAGTAGAAGACAAAGCAATAAAAATGGGAATTGTGGTTTCCAAGTCTACAGAATCTATCGCTAAAGCTATTGAACATCCCACGTGTGTTCAATGCTACCTTTCTGGTAAAAAGCAGAGCAAAACCTCCTAGCATAGGGGGAAGGGCAAGTCCCCCAAATCAAGAAGAAAGTCTTTGGCTTCAATCAATCAATCGCAACAAATTCTTACATCATCTGATCGTAGTAGTGTGGAAACTTTGGATGATGCACACGAACGTGGACGTTTCATTACTACACGAAACTATGAAGAACCACGAAACTATGAAGATAATTCATTTGATCAAATTCACGTTTAAACATATGAGTAAAACAGATAATAACACAATTATATACGCGAAAATTTACTACATTTTAATTTTTCACAGTCTCTGTTAAAATTAATAATATTTTCATAGAATGTTCGTCATGATAATTATGCCGTAATATCATTTATAATCGGGTGTAGGTATTGTACAAATTAAATTAATTAACTCACCCTACAATGGAATTGATTAGTAAAGAATAGTAATGAACTCTATAATACTTTAAGCAGTAATATGGTATAAACAAAAAGTAAAGAAGTACAACACAATAAAACATTTCATTGCGTTATACTTCTTTACTTTTTGTTTAGAGTTATCATCTTGGTTGAAAGTAATGTCTATACATCTATTGAGCTAATTGAATTTAATAAAATCATAGTAAAAGAATCTTAATACAAGTTAATATTAAGGTATTAGGTTGCAGCAAGTATAACAATCAACAATATTGATTTATTTAATCACATATTTACCCAATATAAATGATTTTTCATTAAAAATTTTAATTTACATTGACAAAAAAAGCTTCTACAGTATAAATATAAAAATTATATAAGTATGTGGATTTCTTGATACTTATGATGTCAATTGAAAACCTATAATTGGCAATATTTATTAACTGAATTATAACTATATGATGACATAATTATGACTAGTGAAATATATCATCGATATTAGTGTTAACGACAATACATTCAAAATTTTGAACAATAAATTGGCATAAAATCTTCTATATTTATTAGAAGTTAAACCCACATATTTTTATAAACTAAATTTGCACGATATCATTTAATATAAAATCTATTGAGTTATGTGTTATATATTATATGTTATTTATCGATGTCAATGAAATAATTATTTGTTTTATTTACTGAGCACTTTAAGTAGTTGAGCATAAACTATTGACTTAGGTTATGTACAAACAAACAGAGAATAACTATGTATAACTAATTAACCTTATAGATGATATTAAACAGCTCATTAACTAGTCATAGGTAAAGAAAAATAGATTTAAATAAATTACTGTAGAACGAAAATAAACTTATTAGTGATCTAATATACTTCTATGTTAATTTTCGTTCTCTATAAAAGTATCCAACTGAATTTTAACTATTTGAATGTTTATTATCAGTGTATATTCATGAATCCTCCACATAAATGCTATGAATCAAATCCGCTTGTATTTGCCGAAAATGGAAGAAAATATTTTAATATAATTTGATATATTACGCGAAAATTTTCGAACCCAGAAAACTAAAGGAGATGTTTCAAGATGAGAGATGACTCGGGAATGTAAACACCTTGGGCCCAATCAATGTACACTATCTTAATGTATAGAAATTACGAATCTCTATGTTTGTATAGTTTGTATTAACTTAAACATAACGCCCGACCGATTTTATTAAAATTTGTAGATGTGAATTATTTGTTTCAATTTGAAAAATAGGATAGTTTTGGATTGAATAGATGGCGCTGATAATGCTAGATATAGCATGACAAATAAAGCATGAATGTACACTGAATGCCATTGAAATGCGAACAAATTTGAATGGCAAGGTAAGAAACAATGTCATTAAACAGTATAAAGAAAATGTAGAGACTAGAATTTAGAAACGTATATTGCGATGATTTGAATATATTGAAACGATACATGATAACCGAGTAAATGGATTTATGAGGGAAAAGTGAGGAAGCAAGTTGATCAAGTGAGTGTTATTTCTACTTTCAATGACCAAATTAGAAATATCGTAGAGAAATGCCAATTTGGAAGAATCTACAAATAATAACTTTGTATGATGCGATGTATGATTGCAGAAGAAGCTAGAGAAGTATGTCGGAGCAAAAGTTACTGGCAGTCTATGATTTTAGTTTCTTTGGAGAAATTCTCCAAAGAGAAAAGGACGTGAACTAAAATAGAACAGAAGTAAAAATAAAGTTTGATTATTTTCCTTATTATTGATTTAAACGTATGACATGCGACGTAACGTTATTGATCTGAATAATTAATAAAAAAAATTTCACCAATATTTTAAGTTGTAAATTAATCTTGTTATGTTTTCCCCGTACTGTTCGTTTCTATTTTTTTATTCCTCTTAAATACCGACATTTACTGTGCCCAATATGAAACATCTGCTTTTAAATTTTCACGTTAATTTCTATATGGATCATTATAAAAGCTTTCTGTAAATAGATATATTCTGTGCTTTCAGTTATTTCTACCTGTCAACTAATATTACAAAATCTATTATATTTATAAGTATTTTCTTTCATTAACAATAAGTATTAATTCACCCTAGTTCAAATATGGTATACGTGAAATCAGAAATATTTTTATTTCCACCTTTATACAAAATTGCAATAAGCTAATTAATTTCACAACTTTTGAAGTAATAAAATATTGCGATCAAGTACTACTAAGTATCTACTATGTATTGTATTTAAATATAATTTTATTGTATATTACATACTATTACTCAAACTTAATTTTAGATGTAATCTTAGTGCTAAGTTGTTATATAATAATGGCTGTGGAATCGTACTGATGATAATCCTAAATCACTTTGGTCATAATGTCTCTCTTAATAATTTTCATTCGACTATATTAATGTGCGTTGTATCCCGATAAATTAATACAATTATTATTACGTAGACGACCATGGATTTGTAGTATGTAATCATTAATTAAGTCTTCCATTTCGAAATACCTGTATTTAATAATAATTAATTTACTCTTGCATTTATTTATGTACCTGCTCAATTTAGGTTTAAGTTCGATCTGTTACTGTAAATCGCGATTGCCATAATATATATTCACGTAAATATATTGTAATGTAGTATATATAAATCAATATTTCTTCTTGTTTTCTGATTGGTAAAGCTAAAACTAAACATCAAATGATTATTTTATATAATTAGAGTAATACCAGTGTTCTAATTAAATCAAATAATAACTATTTACGTAACAAAAATTGCAAATATGCAAAACAATAGTTTTTTTTAAATGCTGTATTATTCTTTTAGACCAATTACAATTTGTGACAAATTATTACATAATATAAAGAAACGTCACTTAACATTATTTGGCAACTTTACCACATGTTCCTGCATAAATGTTAATAGTGTAAACATTCTCACAGTGGCGTTATAATTACATGGACAGAAATTAAATAAAGTGAAGATGTATCTCGATTTAATCATAACGGACTACAACGTAAAAGTTTAAATAAAAAATTACATTATATAACAAAATAGTAGTACATAATCTCTAAATGCATGTTGCTATAAACAATAATAAATAGGTGAATGTAATGTACTAATCGTTTAATAATAAATAGGCTAACCGAAAATACACTAAAATATACATGATATCAGCAAACTTATATCTCATAAATTAAGTAGCAAAATATGTATTACTCTTCTATCACGTAGCGCTTCTATAACTATGCACCGATTCTCTATTGACTTAGATTATGCACGTATGGACCGAAAATAAACGATGGATAATTAAAGATAAACAGAAGCTATCATCGATTAACGACTGGCGCACCTTACACGTAGCTCGTAGAGTAATCATCTATACATACGTATATACTTAGGTATACATGTATGCAGCAAATAAAATAAGACTAGGTAGATAGAGTATACGACAAGAGACTTAGCAATTTCGCTATCATTTGAATGTTCGATGACAATGTTGACCGGCGTAGATCCGCGATTCCTCCAACGACATACTTATCCTTTATCCTCCAAGTATTAAGCACCTTCCATTTATGTCCGGACGGGCGCCCGGTTCGTACGATTTCTACGAGGGCATGAACCTACGATAACATTCATCAAACATTCAACTCTTTGATACCGCGAAATCTTTGTGATCGGTAAAATTGCATTCCAAATTTGCTCGGTGCACACTCGCCACCCGGCGACATGAATTGTTTATAAAGAGTTCGGTGTTTGGTGTGTTGTAGGGTCGCCCGTGTGGAAACCGCGCGACATGTTGAGCGAGGCGGGCGCGGCCGGCGCGGCGGGCGCGGCGGGCGGCGCCCCGCCGGCGCCCACCACGCTGCCGCGCTCGCAGCGGCCGGCGCCGCGCGCGCTCCACCTGTCCGCCAGCCGCAAGTCGCTCGCGCCAGATCACCGCCACTAACGCCGCTAGCGCTCCTACTCCTCGTGCCCCGGTATTCCAACCGAGCGACGAGCTCGCGCCGACTCGCTCCACACTGGCCGACAACCCTCCTTCCCCGCCGTGTAGCCGTGTGCCCGGCTCGAGCACCTCCTTCGACACACACGGATTTTGGCCCGTTTGTAGCTCGAGTTTTCCCTTGATGTACATTAATGTACAGAGTTATCTTCCAAGAGTCCCCTTTCGAAGAGATGCTAGGGTATGCAAAAAGATAAGTGTTTACGAACCGTTTCCTATGCTATGCGCTTATCCTAATTCGGCACTACCCCAATCCCTTCACCTAGTGAAATCAATTCGTCTATAGAATAACTGCTGGAAATCGTTTGTTACGAAAGCATGCTTCATAGAGGATTTATTTTTTTTTACTTCCGAATACAGATCAACCCATGAGAATAAATCTCTAGGGCGCATATGGGAATGTGTTAATTAAATTACCTGAATTCTGAACTCACATACCTATATGTTTCCATAACGTGCTTCATGTAATACGTATATATTATTAAAACAATATTTTAGGCTCAAGAGAAAATTCTTATTATTTATTTAGTTTCTATAAATTTTTGTAGTTTTTTTTTGTAAAGCGGCTCAAACATTATATAAATTATAATTTCAACCTTTTTTTATAATAAAAAAAGACTATACCAATGGTTAATGCATGTAATATGACTACTATATTCATGAAATTAACAAATGTTGGTCTGTGGCTGTTAGCAATTAATGAATTCCAAAACTCTGTTCGTACTTAAAATTATTTAATTTATACAACATTGACTCGTATTCACATAAGTAATGCGACAGTCACTATATTACTACCACGCTCCAGCATTAAATTATGTCGTAGTACTTACTATACTATTTCTTGTTTACGACAGCAGTGCAATAATGCCTACATGTCAATGCCTCTATGGTTGAATTGTAAAGTTTGTTTTTTGAATCTCATAATTATCAAAGTAACTTGTTATGTATATACTTAAATTTGTGTTCTTACATAGTACATGACATTATTAAGTAGGATTATTAAAATTACAAATTAATGACAATATCAATAAAAAACAAAATAAAATTTAAAAGACGTAACCTGAGGTTACAATATTACTCACTATGGTTTATCTCTTCCATTCTGATGTTACATAAATGTTAAATAACCTTACGCATACAAGTAACATCACAGTGAATCTCTTATTTTATTTAAAATGTAACTACATATTTTCTTCCATTATATACTTACATACGGGGATTTTTTCTTAAGATGCAGAATGGATGTAGTAACAATATAAATAGACATATAATCACTTGAAGTTTTTAAATTATTTCTTAATTCCACGCCGTACAATTATTTGGAGTGAGTAAGATTTGTATGCCTCGCTCTTCAACATCATGAAAGAGGTTAGAACAATCACAAAATCAATGATCGCACAGGCTCTATAACCATAATTTCCTTTATAACTCCCCTACCAAAATACATGTCGCAAAATATGCTGTGCTTGCGGTATGTGTATTAGTGGAAGCAGTTATCGAAACGGTTACATAAGCAAACATGTTTTATACATGATGTATGTTTGGTGAAAGCGCACTGTAAGATGTATTGAAAAAGAGAAAGAGACGTGACTAATCTATAGAATAAATGTCTAAACTAAGCCACCGTAACATATAAACTAGAAATAACTTTACCGAATTTCCCTTACACAACATAATTATTATCATTTTGTAAATCCTAAGTATATTCAGTTTTAATTTACACTAAATAAATGCTCCAATACCTCTGTGCCAAATTAAGTACCTATTCCTGTGCTTGTTAATAATCATCGTGAACATTACATATACTGAATAATTAAATTGTGAGAGTAGTTAGTTGTAATGTACTTACGTTTCATTTCACATCGGCAATGCAACACTCACCACCCTATAGTTCAAGATGCACTCACCCTATGGAAAATACACTAGGTAGTTTTGATAATAATTTCTCTTCGTGATCAAATTCGAAAGTTCTATCATAGGCTAGGCGAATGATATAACATGTATCCTACACGTTTGATTATTTTTAATTTACCGGATGAAAAACATACGACCTGGTATGGTGATTTCGTTTATGTAATATATAAATGTATTGTTTGAGATCATGGAAAATTTGATAGTAGAACGGAAGTGTGTATCCCGTAGTTGTAATAAAAATGTTACTATACTGTATTCATGATACCTATTTATGTAAATGTGGCATTTATTTAAGATATTGTTATTATATATGTATATGAAGATTTATTCAAAATATATGTATATATTAATTTATTATCTTATAGGGGATCATAGTTTCATATTAAATAATAATACCACATTATTGATTACTAATCAGACGCTATGTCTATAGTCCCCCAATTTACATAATTATATTCAAGTCAAAAATATGCACAGTTATAAAATAGATATTAAACTCAATAAATATTATACCTATATTAAATTAAATAGTTAGTAAAAATTGCAATATATTAGTGAAATTTTATTTCGGGACATATCACTGTAATTCTACTCAGCTCAAACTTCAAATTTTCACGTGGTCTCTTATACAATACTGTATTAACACTTTATATTGATCTTGAATTATATTTGTATCTATGTTGTAATAATACTTGTAGATTATGTACTAATTTATTATTGTGACCACAAACACACACGTACTTTATATATATGCATATATAATACCAACACATAATGTATAATATATACATATATATGTAACTATATATATATTATAAATTGAATTTTAAGTATTGTTTAATAGATTATTTTGTGATTTATCGAAATAAAACCTGTTTATTAATATACATATGTTAAAATATTCGAATTTAATAATTACGAACTTATACAATCAATTTATAGATATTATTATACTAAGAAAATATAATTAATAAAATAAATAAACAAATATGAGTGAAAAATGATAATGAAGGATGAGCTCATTAATTGCGATTGTATTTCATACTTCAATGACATTTGAACGTAATGTAGGGAAATGAATGAATATTTAGAAAGACTTATTGAAGTAAAATACGAAGGTAACTAATGTTATAATAAGTATTGAACTTTTATAATTTCATGTTATGTTTCATATTGCGTTCATGTTTATTGTCAAGTTTATTACCTGTCAGTGTATAGTGATTTAAAAATTTCCACAATGTTAACAATAACTGACGGTAATGCTATTGTCAAACTACTTCGACGACCGCGCATTGAGCTTCCAAAAATATAGGAAATTATTGTATTGTAGGTGCCATTATTTGTATGTGATTATAATATTACATTGTAGTTTGGAAGAATATTATCTGGAACAAATTTGTAAAATACTGGTACATCATTACGTATATATACATCTAATAATTTAAAATTGGATTTGCAGACCAAGTTTGTTTTATTAGAATTTAGAATTGTAATGTAATGTATTTCGAGTCATAAAGGTTTTCTTACATCATCGAAATGCCTAAATTTAAAGTGCCTTCACAATGATTAAAACGTAAAGTGCACGAAACTTTTCGTAAACTAAGAACAATGTAAGAGTCACGTAAATAGTTTGTCAATAACTTTGCCAAAGAATGTACCTAACACTGAATCTACCTTTAGTGGCTTCCAACACAATTAGTCTAATTTACAAATTAATGTATGTATTCTATTGTTTTCCTTTGTATGGTATTATACGTTACATTTTATTACACATACGGAAATTACTTTTTATTGCTTATGAATAAACAAAATAAATTTATGACTTTTTTTATTATGTCCGTCGCCTACTGATTTTTTATAATATTATGATGGCTAACAAGCATACGGCTCGTCTGATGGTAACGGTTATGGACACTTGCAACACTAAGGATGTCACACGTCTCGACCCTTAAGAAACCTAAACAAACGCCCCTATTGATTTTCCCGATTTACATTACAACCTATAAATTTTCATATAAAAATGTACTAGGTTGATTACAGTTTCTCGAAGAATGAAAACTTAACTTAAATTTAGAATTTATGGTATTGATAGCCTCCAATAACAATTTTGTTATTAAAAATCCTAATAATGAATGCGAAAATTTATAACGTTGGAGAAGAAAAAGTATAATAAATGTTTATTGTTACTCTTTCACGCAAAAACTACTGAAGAGATTTCAGTTAAATTTGGTATACAGGTAGATTATATCCTAACTTAGCTCCTAAGATAGCTTATGTACTGATTCATGCGAGCAATGCCAAGAAATACAGCTAGTAGAGAATATTGTGATAAGACCGGGGCATTTAATTCTAGTCCTACTACGCTCCCTTGGCATAGATAAAACCATAGACATAGAAAAATGTACTTACGTACTACAGAGTGGCAATGCAATCACAAAAATGAGATAAAAACATTTACATTAGTGTGTGTGTTTTGTAAATGTATTCATATGACAGTTGTAATTTATAAAGAATTTAAGTTACCAAGAGAGCAAAAATTCACAGTTTCAATTCGTGGACGTTTAGAACTTTATATGGATTAAATTGGATATTTTTTCAACCAATTCTTGTACAAAATATTTCTGATAGCTCTATAATTTATCTAATTATACTTCGAAATTTAAAAATAATAAAATGTAAATGCCTTGTTCTTAGCGTAATTGTGTACGTGTACATGACATATTTGTAAATATGACAAAATAAGCGTGCCTTTTACAAGAATTTACAAATTTTTATTTCATATTCTGGCGTAATAAAGTAATGATTTTTAAGAAGGTATAAAATAATACCATAAAAATGGGTGAACAGGTTATAGTATTATTTTATTACCAGTACGAATCAAGTTTTGAAGTTGACGTTTTCAAATTGAATCAACAATTGTAACACCTGTTGAACAGTCGATCATTTTCTTTCTTCACTATTTATATTAGTAATAAATACACACTACCACACCGATCGCTTCAATCTAGGATACCCTATGTTATGAGGAACCAGACAAACATCTAGGACACAACCGATAGATGAATTATTAGATCTCTGCTTTCGAGCAGAGATCTAATAATTCATCTATCGGTAATTCATCAAACGGTTACGGCTGGGCCGAAGCCCAGTGTTAACCGTTTGGCGCCCAAACTGTGAATGACTATTTTTTGACCGTGTTGCCGTACTTCTAATAATAATTTGCCTGAAGATGTTTCCTTCAGAAACGAAACACGTGCCGCAAAGCAAAATATGCGTGAACAAAATGGCAGTCGGAGATAGATAGCTAATATAGAAAGATACAAAACTTCTGATAATAATCTGATGACAATAATGGTGGTGAATCTTTCAATGTCGGTATATACTAATAGTAGCAGAATTAAAAAATAATAATTCTAATGAAATAACTACAAATATAATGCTTCAGAAGCCGGACTCAACGCTATTTGCATAGGTAATATAAAAATAATAACAATTCTCAGTAAAATGTGTTTATTAAATCGTACATCGACGTCCATAAATCAAACATTTCAGTGTTTCGGGATTCAAAACCTTACAATTTGCTAATAAAACAGTTGATCTAGATTGATTGATATGAGTGAAACGTTCAAAATATAATTAATTATTTACAAGATTAATAATAATTATAACTAGATAAGTATATAATAATCTTTTTTATATTTTTGTTCAGTACTTTGCTGTCTCAACAAATTTATCTAAGTATCTAAATTTTGTTGGCCTAATTGTTTAACAAAAATATAAGTTAAGTATATTTTTTATTGTAACGATTCCAAATAAATTTAATTATAACAATAAAAAAATATTACACCGTTGTTTTTTTTTTATAAAGAAAAGTTAATTTCTCTCAAATTTTTTTTAAGTTTCTCGTCTGTTAAAACGTTTTTTTATAGAGACACAAGTATACACGAATACAACACACCTTAATTTCTGCAAAATATTTTCTGGAAGGTAGGATCACAAGTCGTTACTTTGATTACAGTATCTTATATGGCGTCTACATCAAGCGTAGTGATGTTAAAAAGCGATCGAAATTTTCAATTTGCCATTTTTTTTCATGGTATGGGTATACTCGGTACGATGAAATGAGGAAATGGATTCTAGTTTAATTTTTCATCTTTCTAATCCCCGATCCATGCACAGATTTTATAAAGTTTTCAAAGATTGCAGCTGTAATTATATTAAGTAATTATACTAAATAACCTTCCACCAAATTACTAATCAATATTTTTATTAGAAATAATTAAACGAAAATACCTGTAATATTATCATTACATTTAAATAAAATAAATTTACTGTTGTATTAATCCAAATAGGTACCTACTTGGAACCACATACATAATTATATAGATTATTATTAAAAAAAGAGTTTTGTCAAGTTTGTGAATGAAATTAATATATCACAATAATAAAGACCCAAGTACAAATATAATTAACTGCAATGGTAGACAAAGTTGTGGGATAATCGGGAAGCTCTATTCGTGGAACACCTAAATATATATTATAATTTTAATTTACGGTCTTTACATATTTCTACAGTAAAATTATGTCCCTAATACTTAAAACAAATAACAATAGGACTATCTACGGAAATGTATATCGTATATACATATTATGTGGCACAGACTACTTTTATCTTATTATCATAATAACCAAGTATTCCTTAACTATAGAAAAGAGGATTCCATCGATTATAAAATTATTTATTGGATCTGTAAATTAATAATAATCTAACCAGTACACTGCAGATGTAGTGGCTCTATCTGCAAATGTTTACAATACTTAAATATTCATAGGTGTAAATAAATAATAATAAGATTCAGGAAGAAGATGGAATTCCAATGACTAGATACTTAAAAACTACACTACCTCAACGTAACTTCAAAAGACGAACGTCATGAAATATGTATCTTAAAAACATTAATCTACAACATAACAAAGTAATTCATTCCACATCTCTGTGTTAGTGCACATCATGATAAATTTAGGTGTATTTAATGTATAATATTTATAGGTACGTTGGTAATTTTATAATATTTTAAGTGTAATTATTATTAAACAACTTTTATTAGTCTATTACATTATCTACTATTAATGAAATACTCGGTTCAAAAGAAGTTTTAATACGCTATTATTTTATGGTGTTTCATCGAATTATGCTAGAATAAAATTCATCCATCCTAATTTCATATCATATTAAATACGTAAGGCACTCCATTAATTTTGCTGCTTTTTTTGTCGAAAGAGATCTAAAATACTGACACACAGAATTCTTCTATAAAAGTGAAGACCACTGGAAGTTACTGGTAATTAACACGCACCGGACATTTATAAGACATCATCATTTAATTAAAAGCTCAAACAATTACTTACGTCGCCGATTGAAAGACTTGAATTTTAACTATAAACGAGTTTATACATCAATATTATAATTATTAAATTGAGGCAAGTGATGAATTTATTTATTAGCTTTTGAGTTTTAAAAATTATTGCATAAAGAAATTAAATATTGCTCTGCCGAAGAAAATTCGTTGTGAATAGGTTCATAATGTGTTCATGTGAATAATATTACGCTTTAATTTCAGTGTGGGTAACGATGTAAGTGGTTATATGCTTTTGTGTTAAAATTTTACAACTTATTATTATAGTTTATATCGGTTTAGTAACATTGGCACAAACTTAAAGACTAAAGGAAAAATTAAACATTTGATTCGATTTAATGTCCTACAAAATAATTTTTATCACAGACACAACTAATAGAAACGTATAGTTAATCCATCTATTTAGAATAACATACTCTTGTCATATTATTTGTACAAAAAAACAACCAAGATAACATTATTTCAACACAGATCCAATTTAATAACAAAAAAAGTTAATTTCATACCTATCCAGTTTTTCATGTTTAGTTGGCGCAATGTCTATGACGTGAGAAATAAAACCACAACAAACACTTTACATCGACGTTGTTGGACCCCTAATATTTAATTAAAAAGCCATTTATTCATAAGTAATCTCTTTAAAAATTTTATCAAATTTAACTACCTAAATATACCTACATACATGACTTGTTTCATTACTTCCTGAAAAATTTCATGTTCAAATGTTAATATAATTCCGCGCGACGTCCATTGTGCCCCTTGATATATTTTCGTAACCAAATTATTTATTGGTCTTATAGTCAGAAAATTTTATTATATTATAGTATTACTTTTAAACTTATTTTATTAACGTATCAGGTACTTACGAAAATACATAGTAAATGTTTACTTTGAAAAGACGATACTGTTTGAAACATTATTCAATTATTCAAAAAATAATAAAATATTATTAACTGTTTTAAATTATTTTGATTTAAATATTGCAGATCTCATTTGACATTATTATTAAATGATACAATTACTTGATGAACTTTCATTTCTTAAAATGAAATACTACGGTACTGAAGTAACTGTACTCGTAGATATTGTTTCTGATACAATAATTTGCAGAAATTTCGTTAGGCTTATTGCGCATCGATTTATGCTCGCGACAAAATCGTGTATATATTTGTCTAAACGTTGGTCCCTATAATTGCTATTGTAATTTTATGCTGTCCATATTAACGCGGAGCGGTTTGGGGCATCGACGCCGCGCGTTCTGCGGCCGGGCTCTCCGAATAAAGGCACATTGAGTCATGATTCATATTGTTATTCTATGCAATGTAGTACCTAACATTCGCATATCCCTTAATAAAATTGTTACTCTTCCTTTTAAGGTCGGTCTAAAACTAGTTAAAGGGATTAACTAGATAATTAATATTCTACTTATAATGTATATATGAATTTATAATGTCACACCACTACTCCTCCCGTCGATTCATGATCGCACACTAACGATTTTATCACATTCTAAAGTTCTATGACATCAAACTTCCATCGTGACTACGTCATTTTGGCAACATGGTGGTGGAACTAAAAATTGTCTAATTAGCTAAGTGGCGAAATCGCCTATAATTAGAGCTAAAGTGTAGACAACTAAAAGTTATCTTCACACTTGATTTCCCGCGATGTCGGTTGCAACGACCACTGCGGTTCTGATGGTACATCCCAGTCGGAGAAAGACTCGTAAGAAAAATTATCGCTAGTGACATCCTCTAAAGCCACCTCTGTGCGACTGAATGCTTCCGCAAATTTTCCTATTTCGGTCGAGCCAAATGCTTGCTGAAAGGCGGGCAAGGGCACTACTGGTGGCCGTTTCTCTTCGGGTGGCGATCGCCGTGGTTCAGCGTAGAAACGATCCCGTGCAGATCGGGGCGTTTCTGGAGGCACGGCTCTCGTTGTGGAAAACTCGGGCGTGTTTCCGTGCCTGATGCCATTTTCTCCGCTGTAAGAAGTCTCATCGTATGGCCGATAAGGTGTCGATCTTCCATCTTGTATACATGCTGGATTTTGAGCATAAATGTGAGGGCCCTGAAATGAGGTAACACTACAATAAATATTTTCGTATTTTATGTCAAAATTAATTCGGTTGGATTTAATTCGGAAAAAAAAATCTTGATATGTCTTTTTAACGAAATTTATTATATAATTTAAAAATAAAATAGACACGCGTCGGGCATTTAAACACGCGAGCTCCACCTTCGAACTCGTCACACTTCCCAATAGGTGAGATTGAGGTCAATCGTGGGAACTTTTCATAGCAAAAATATTTAAACTAGTTGTTCGCAGATTTACCCGCGTACATTAGAGTGAAAGTATCTTTTGTTTCTGCTAATTAAGCTAGAATATATATCTATCTATATGTTAATCTAAAATAATATATTCAAGTATTTTACAAATTTCATATTTGTAATGTTAATAAAATATTCAATTAGCACAAACCATATTATTTAAGCATAAACTAGTATAAGTAATTCAGTAAAAGACATATCAAGATATCTACCTTAAGGGGCAAGTAAATCATGGATCAGAACTATCATTTTTCAGTATGTATTTTTAGTATGTATTAACTAGACAGTACAGTGGTACTAAACACTTGATAGACATACTTAAACACATTTTTAGATACACTACTACAACATTTTTATATTCATCCTTACCGTTATCCTTCACTGGTAACACGGCAGCATATATCAACGCTAGCAAACTTACCGTTCCATTTTCATCTATTAAAAAAGCTTCATTTAAATTTTATTTTATATATAAAAAATAATGTATGTACCTTACCTTTATAGAACGGCAGTCAGAGGGATAACGCATATTTTCACGTGAGCACGTGTTGCGCAAGGACCACGTGCCGTTGACTGCGTTGGCGCCACTCCAACTCCCGCCACCGCTCACAACACCCATCTGAAATAATGTAGCAATACCAATTGCATATAACTTCAACTGTAATCTTTGTACTGATCTTCTTATTTTATTTATTTAAAAATATGAAAAATATCAGCAAATATAATAATATTTTATTTATGATAGTAGAAATACTAGTTTCCTTTCGAATTTAAAGTGACCCATAACAAAAACTACTGGATATTTATTCTGAACACATTAACACTATCGTATTATATTAAATACATACTGTTATTAACTTACGTTACAGATAAAGTATATTTGGTGTCTTGTCCAGTAGGACAAGGACTGAAACTTTAATGAGTACATTCAAAGTTTCAGTCGCTGATTTAGTAATATGAGTAGTATCACTTTCTATAGTGGCACATATATGGTTGCATTAACTGCGTTAACAAATAACCTGGTCTGAATCTAGCTCGTAAGTATTTCAGGAATTGATGATTCCCCGATCTTTTATATCTTATATCGTTAACCATACAATAACAATATACTTATTAACTAATAATACAAGAACACAAAACGTAAAAATACACTAATGAAACTCATTAGATATATTACTTATTTTTATATCACACCCGTGTTCCAATTATATTTCATATAGATAAAAATTGTTATTCGATACTATCAATCGATATTTTAATATTAAAATTGTCGATTTACCCCTTGTATTATGTATACAATCATAGGAAATAAAAAAGATTACCTGATAGTGAGGCCACATCTGCGTCTCGCAATAACCAGAGCCGCGTCCGTTCAGCCCACATTCTAGAGGTGGCTGTAAATAAAAAAAAAAAGAAGAAATAATAAAAAATCGGTATGTTTAACATAATTAAACTATTTACTTAATTTATGTAAAATTATGATTATATTATATAAATAAATAAATAGTATCTGTATCTTTAGTATATACACTATCCAAATTTGGTACCTGAACAACTATATTTTTTAAACCTTGCGAGGGGTAAAATATTACACTACTGCGAGTTCATTACCTAGACCAATTAACTAGTAATGTACATTTAGGTATCAGTAAAATAATAATTTCTCTTTACTTTTGTCCACGTAAATATTTAGGCCGGGCTGTATGTCATTGAATTGTGAAGTTCGATGGTGCGAAACGTATGTTCCGTCGGGTATCGATTCAGAGGCCGGCTGAAAGTGCCGCCAACGAGGCCGCCCGGCCGCCGCGCACGGCTCGTCCTCGAGTACACTGCCTCCCACTGATATACTTTACACATACATATATACAAGAAAGTACTATATCTTTCCTATTTCAAAAATTTCTTCAAATCAGAATACTTATTTTATTATACCGTATTGGTAGCAAACAATATTGTTAATACCTGTTTGCAATACTAGGGTTGTCACGTGCGTTTTACCGACTGTATTCCCTATACTAGTCAGTATGTACTGTCTTTATAATTATACATAAATTGTTCTAGTTGACCGACAAAATAACTGATATATTTTCAGTTTCTTGCAAATATGGCGCTTAACAACAGAATTCAAACATCTTGTTTCGATATTCTATTTTTCATTATTTAACTAATGATTCGACGCGACTTCGCACGGATGCAAATTGTACATACAAACTTACCATAAAAAAAACATGTAAATAATACAAACGTTTGTCAGTTTGTATAATATAATATAAAAGCACATTCATTTATCTAAGCACATCGACACTGTCATCATGTCACTACTGTTGTCACGCGACAACAGCACAATGTCTTATAAATCTCACCAAGTAACTATATACACTTTACGAAAAAAAAAACTTTATTTAAAATACATAAAATTTTATAATTCTTCCAGATATGATTGGTTACTTACAAATCTCATTCCATATTATATATAAACGTGAAACATGCCTCTGTCTATTTTCTTGAGCTATTACTATTCAGTTGACACATATCTATTATCTCTTGTACTCCAACGGACTACACAATGTTATCATCAACAACCTTTCAATGGAGTTCAATAGACATGAATAATAATTGCTTTCAATTGTACCTAAAATAACCCGTTTAATATCCGCATACATACTTGTCAAACAAAGTAGTTGAACTTCTGAACTTATGACAGAATGGCTCTATAGATAATAATAGAATAAGTAAGTGTTCAGTTTGATGTGGAGTTAAATATCGTGGAATGTATACAATCTGTAGGTACATGAGATAATGTTTAGTGTGTCGGGCTCGGCTCGGCTCGGGCGCGGAGTGGGTGGTATAGGACGCATGGCGGGGTGGGCTGGCGCCGATCGATGTCCGTCACTGGCTGTGCACCGCGTTGCAGCTACTGCATCCATCACAATTCATATCTCAGCAGACGTCGTTAACCCCCCCAAGTGACAACGGAGTAGACATTACGATGAAACATATGAATTTGTTCCGCTACGATTGACATGTTAACGCCAAATTCAACTAACACGAGGAATTGTTTCATTTTTCATGTTGTGTTGTGTTACTTATATAAAATATAGTAAGACTGTCTTTTAATTTTATAAAATTGTGATATATTATTACGTGTTTCTTTTTTATTATTAATAGTCCAAATAATTATTATTTAATAATTAAATTTAACAGGACTAAATTTAATTTTATCCAATGTATCTGATAAAAAGGAAATATTTTCCTACTTTAAAAAAAACAACCAAATTGAGAACCCCCTTGTTTATGAAGTCGATCGAAAATATTGTTTGGGATTATATAAAGAGTTGTAATATAAAGGTGACGAGGTATAATAATGATATTATAATATTATTCATTGTTTTAACTATTCGTAGTGCACTAAAAATAGATCATAACAGTAATTTACAAAATACTTTCTTGCTCGTAGAATCAACAAACTTGCTACGAAATTCGTAGCGCGTTCGGCGCAAGCGCCCGCTACGATAGGCCTACGATTTAATAATATCATGATTTAAATGTAATATGTCATATTATAATTAAATAAAATGATTCCATTCATTTACTCTTTTGTCATCTACCTCATAACTTAGACTATACCAATTACTTTTTTTTTTTTGTAAGAGAATTCAAGAAAACGTATCTAAAATTTTTATTAGTCCCAAATTAAATTTAATATATTTATGTTTTTATTATTAGTTCCGCTCAATTTTATAATGACAATTAATCATACAAGTTATCCTACTATATAAATTTGCAAAAAAATATTATGTTGTTTAAAATATATTGCTCTATAACCGCCCTTATATACGAGTATGATGGCAGACTAGTGGCGGGAGATTTGCGGAGGCCAACTATCGAGCGGCGAGCGGTGAGCGCGCGCGACCCACGTGACTTATCGATCAGCGAGGCGCCCACGACACTCGGAAAAATCAACCGCTGACAGCTTTCACAGACCACCCCACCCCTCCTCCCTCCTGCCTGTTTCGCCTCGCGCCTTACTCCTCGCTGCCATGCCACTACCCCCGCCCTCATTAGCGCCTTTGTGCCGCTCACTTGTCTTGTAATATGACGCCGTAATGATACCACTTTTTATTCGATTATTCAATGACTTATATCTTGGTTTTGTGATTTTTATATTATTTTGTATAAAATAACTCTGAATAGTTTTATGTTTTTATAAAATAAATATTTTAGGCAAATCGAAATCACTTATATATATATATATATATATATATATATATATATATATATATATATATATATATATATATATATATATATATATATATATATATATATATATTTAATTCACTATCAATGTAATATATAAATGCTTATTTTATTCTATCATGTACTATGATCCATTTAATTAAACATTTATTACTTACGTATTTATTACTTTCTCGCCAAAAATGTCTATGATAGAGTTCAAGTTTACGGATAACACAATGAACGATTATCTTATTTATATCGATTTATACGTTAACAAACTTTTTGGAATTTCAAAGTTGAATAATCAATAAGGTTCCATTAACATATTAATAATGATCACAGAAATTGTTACCCGTCATGGCGACTGGATTCATACCAATTTAAACTTTATGTTTACCGCTTATGATTGATAGTAGTTTTTATTATAAAGGAAATGTACTACGAGAATGCCGAGTGTCCTTTGACACTGACCTACATAACTTTGACTAGCTTTTTTGCTCTGCGACCATATTTTTATATTGCCGCAAAATTATTACTTTGTTTACATTTATTTCGCTACTACGATACAAATGTTATGACATTCATAATTTAGGACCTAAGTTTAGAACTTTTACATATAGATTATGTGTATTAAAAGTTTAAATGAATAAACAACTTATTCTGGCTATAAAATAAGTTCAAATTACGTTTATGGATTTTATTTTTATTCGACTAAATGTGACATTTTATAATGAATTGCCTATACATACTGGAATTAACGATTGCACCAACCACATACCAGTTTTATTGTTATTCGTTTTCATAGTATATTGCTGTCATATATCTATAATTTCTCTAAATCTCTTTATATTCGTATATTATTATCTTTGCAAATTGTTAATATAATAATACTGACAATAAATTACGATAGCCTAATAAATCTAAGAAGTAATTACTTATGAATTTCATTTTGAATACTTTTTTTCTTTTGTGCAACTTAATATGGTATATAAGCTGATAGCCCACCTGAAGAAAAGTGGTAATCGTCGCCTGTAAATATGAATATTACCATGGACATAACAGAGAATATTATTTCGCCTATGATGCCCTTTATGCGTTGTCATTTCTGACGACTATGGTGTTATGCCCAGTGATTTCATTGCCATATTCTATTCTTCAAACCGAAACATAGCCATCATGGTAAAAATACGAAAGGGACAGAAATACCCAAACAGACGACTTTTGTACCAACAAAGCGGAAAGAATTATTGCTTTTTTAATTTTTCCTCTGTAAAATATTTATGATAGAATTATAATTATTAACATTTATTTAATCTTACTGATAATTAATTTTAAGCGACTTCTTTAAGAAGAAGGTTCTCAATTTACCTGTATTTTTTTTTTCAATATTGTGCAAAATTTTGTTAATTCTAAATTGATTATTATAATTCTTTTGCTATATACAGGAGGAATCCTACCTACCGTATTGACTTTTAATATACTCGTATTAATTTTGGCATGATTAAAAGAGCAGGTTCTTGAAATAAAATTTATCAATAAAAAAATGTAATATGTACTTACCGTGGGCGGATGCGGCAGTTGTAATGCGGGAGTGAGTGCGCGCTGCTCCCTACGAGCCAAAGCGCGCCGCACGCGCGCCTCCTTTGCCGCGTAAGCACCGTAGTCTACGAAATAAATAACAAAACTGCCTTTCAAATATATTATACTTTAATATATAATAACAGTAAAACTTTTTATAATATAGGGAACATTTAAAATAACTTGTGCTTTACAACAGGCGATCATATCGCTAAAAATAATTCCTTACAGATGATCTAGTGGAGACATACAGAGTGAAGACGTTTTGTGACATCTTTCATTTATTTTTGAATCATACAAGGTATTGTAAAAAAAAACTGTCACTAAAAGTGCATCATTTTCTGAGTATTTATAAATTGTTTTACATAGTAATCTTGTGCCCCTATATTTTTACGATACGATTTAATAATCCTACACCACTTATATTAATAAACATTACCACTCTAGCATTATGCTCTAATATTAATAATGGATATTTAATTTACTCTGATTACTTCTTTTATGTACAAAATGACTAGGTTATAGTATTTTAATAAAATTTGCATATCAGTATGTTTGTGAAACATGTAGCTCGAAGTGTACACTACTGAACATGTAATGTTACCGTGTTTAATGCAAATAAAGAATCTGGATCTGAATATGTCTGAGTTTCATAATTAAATTATAAATTTTGTCGTCATCATATCATTCAATATTAATATATATCAATTTCCTTCCTCCAAGTATTGCATAATTAGCATGATTCAAAGACATCTATTGAATGATTTGACAGAATAATCAATCAATGAATAGTTAGAATTCAAGATTCTTCTATGGCACGAAATGAATGGTAGTTACTTTAGGAGAGAAATACTTTCCTGTACATAAATGAATAAATAATTTTTAGAAAAATATAATAATATCCTTTGTTTTAATGTTTTTTTTCTGTACGTAGGTACAAATTATTCGTGTAATTTAAGATTATAAATCATAAAAATTGTAAACGACAATTTATATTTTGCAAATCTAACATTAAGAGAACGAAGAAATTTGTCACTGAATTTGTTCTCTTATTAATGTATAAAAAGATAGACTTATTCATTTTCGAATTCGAAAAAACCGAGTTCATTATTAATTTTAATAATATTGCAAAACTAACATACCAACATGAAAAGGTAGTCCGCTAAAAGCTTAGGGTTATGTGTTCACCGAAACAATAAACATTATAATTTATGGACTGTAAACAATAATTGTCTAGGTAAAGCATTAAACACTGCGCTATTTACAACAGCGTGCTGCGTGCTCAAACTGACGGGCGTTTAAATTTAGAATTGACACTAGTTTAATGTAAACAGCGCAAATCACACAGCAAATGTGCATTTGTAGAACACAGGGAAAGTGATATCCGATCTATCAATCTTGTATACAAGTAGATGTTATGCATCAAACTACTTTATTTATAAAAAAAAACATTCTAGACATTAATTCTTCTATCGCAAGGTTTTACAAAATTATAAATTATATATTTACCAAGTCGATATTTATTTTAATAACTGAAATAATCAAATATTTCTAATAAATAAAAAAATTACTTCAATTGTGACAAAATTATGAACATTGAAACGAAATTACTTAATGAAAATGTCATTTACACTTTTTAATTTGACTATGTTTCATTTTTATAACATAAATTAAATGTTAATCAGAAACGTTTTAATTATAGCATAACAAAGTTCAAGGTTATGTACCTGCTTGAAAGTAATTTAAATCTGTACTTTTAATTTTAATAAATAATTCAGAAGATAATTATTTACATTTTAAAGAATTTGTATTACTTAAGTCACGCTGCACTCAGTGATACATTTGATGACTGAAGTATTTTCGCTCGCGCTGAGAAAATCAATGGCACTATTCACAAGGACGTTGTACTATTGATATATCGTGTCGCCACGCCAATAACCCTAAAGACTGACGTTTATAGGTTTGACATGTGGCAAGAGCCGTTTTAACGTTGATTTTATGTTATGCAAATGAAGTTACAAATGCCTAATAAAACTCAACCCTAAATAGATTTTTATAAGAAGAATTAAAATTTTTAGTGACACGCAGTCGAATAACAAAGAAGCTGTAGAAGTAGTAGAAAAGTTAAAAAGAACAAAATAAGTAAGGGATAAAACTGTTTCACAATTAACTCTTGACGTTAAACATTCTCAGAAGGAAATTACAATACAAATTATTTCTTGACGTGCTAAACTGCGCGAAAAATTCATTTACATATTCATTAATCGTCCTTTTAATCATAATGGCTTCAATAAAAAATTATAGGTACAGTTAGAATAAACAACATACTTAATTTTAGTCGTCTCTCATTGAATTCGTCTAAACAATTGTTATTCATTCAGGACTATTAGGATACGTGACGCTACTACTTTGCATTATTTACGAAGATTGTAGCATTTATGTATATAAAGTTTGGTGTGAATCGCGACGCGGGCGTTAGTAGCCCGGTCAATATGTAGAGTGGCTGTGCGGGCGATCAATTGCGCTGCGACCGACGCGGGGAGGCACGACCACCTGTAGAGCGAGCTGCCCCCGCCGCGCGCCCCCGGCCCACCCCCGCGCCCCCTGTCTTCGACACGTGACGTAGACGATAAGAAATCCGCCCAAACGTAAACATTAATTCTTACTTCATTCCTCATTGTTCAGAATGTCGCTTCGCGCCACGCGCGCATTCCGATCTCTCTTGTATTGGTAAACAAATTACTTGACGACGCGTCATCAGCAGCTTTGTTATTGCGATCGCTACCTACTGTGTACCTACGCCTGAAACTAGTACAATACTTATAATTTAATTACGTTTACGGAATTAGGACGTTAAAGCTGTAGATTTACCGATTTGTATATAAATTTCAATCAATACATTATTAGCATTTTCCAGTTAATACGGTTTAAGATATTTATTTTCTTAAAGAAATACAATTCATTTACACATATAAAGTTTTAACATGTTATTAAAAAAAATCGGTATTAATTGAACTTTTTCCCGTTCTTATTGTAACGATTGCAATTACTACAGACGAATAATAATTATTATTTAAAAATAACACAGATTGTAAATAAATAATAAAGCACATGATAAATTCCTTATTTCCTATATTGTATATTTCAAATAACGTATAATCAATTATTCAGAAATGTATTGTCTTAGCAAAATATTAGGATTGAAATAATAAAAATAGGAATTATGTAGAGTTAAAAAGAAGTCAAAAAGTCATTGTCATTTTACATTATTTCCATGCACCATATAAACATACTCATATAAGTTTAACGAAATGCAATATCTGTATATGAATTTTCTCATTATTATTTGAAATCTTTAATTATTTGAAAAATTTGTACAAGTATATTACACTACTTTTAATATTTGTGTTTCCATTGTTTTGGAATTTATTATGAAGTACGTAATGATAATCTCAGCAAAAACAGTGACTACCTCTACGCGTATTTTATATTAGTTTTATAGTTAACTCTTATATTATTCACTACCAAGTATATTTTTAGAAAATAGCAAAATTAGTTTACTTATAACTTTTATAGAGCGACTGAACTATATAAACTGCTCAATACCAACCCATGGGCATGACATGCTCAGCGTGGTGCAGGTGGTGAGCAGGGTAGTCGTAGCGGTAGTAACGGGCGTAGGCATCGTGCGCGGGCGGCGCGTAGTAGCCGTGAGCGTACGGCGCGTACGGCAGCGGCGCGTACGGTCCGTAACCGTCCCAACCTGCGCTCGCGCCGCTACCGTACTGTCCGTGCCCGCGGTATTCGCCGTAGTTGCAGCAATCCATTGCTCCGCGCGCCCTACGCTCCTGGCAGCGCCCTCCCCTGCCGCGCTACCTTCCATCCTCGCCCTAACCTGCTTGGCCACATCACACTACCCTTGTACTACACCTACCCAATTACTTTATCGTGTACTTCCTAAATGCATCACGAGTATCCCACTCTCTTAATAAACATTGTTTGACTGACGCTACATTACATCAGACCCTCATACGATTACTTCAAAACTATTCAACAAAGTGACTCGAGTTCGGTAATTAATATATGAAACTATTAAAAAATTGTATTGATGTTCAAAGTATACGTCGGTATGACGACTTGCCGCGTAGAGATCGAGCGCAGTTACGCGGCGGGAGTCGGACGCGGGAGCGACGTTAGGTAGCGAAAAGAGGTCGTTCGAGTTTGCCGGCGACGGCGAGATATTCGATGGACGAGGGCGGAGAAGAGGCGCGGGCCGCGAGGGAGGGGCGACGCCCGCTCGCCGGCGGCTCGGCGCAGCGCGACGCTCGACGGACGCCGACTGAAGGCGCCGCGGAATCGATACACCGCCACCGCCCGCCGCACCGCCGTGCCGCGCCGCCCGCCCGCAACCACTACCTGCCTGCGCCCGTATTGCGCGCGAACTTTGTCTTCCCCGATGGAATTTTATATTTAGAACCATGGTGAAACGATTGATCGATACTTTGCACTATTAATTAGCACACACTTTCACTACAAAACGTCAATTGATTAAATCCATGTACATTTTCTTTATTTTTCAACTTAAATACCCAGGATTATCCCAACTCAATTATTATGAAAAGAACACAAAACTCTGCCAACTGCTAACAACTCATTAAATAAGAGAAGTAAATAAATGCCAATTATTTTTAAGATTTCTGAATTTAATTTATAATGTTGTATTTAAATAGAAATAATAAGTAACGTGTATATTCAGGTAATGTATAAGTACTTGCAAAGTTTTATCGAATTGCGCGTAGGCGGCAGTGACCCATATCGCCGGTGGTGATGCGGCGTGCGGCGCACCACCCGCGCCCTTCATCCTTCGCTCGATTACACCTCTGACAACTTTTTGTCAAGTAAGATATATAAAACTTAAGGAATATAATTTGTAAAAAATTCTTCAGTAAATCTAACTGTACCTTTTATAGCACTGGGAATGACAAGTGAGCTGACAGATCTCTTGCTGTGAATTAATAAATTCCCATCGCCTAGAAATACGAATATCGCTAAATCTTAACATAAGGCGAGATTGTGGTAACACGTGATTTTTTCGAGTCTACGATGTTTTATCATCAGATTTTTTTAGTCTTATCTCAATTCCTTTCCTGTGTAAATATATCCTATATTATGCCAACCACGACACCTCTTATAAGTTGGTACTCCAGAGGATCAAGGACCTATTATATGCGAAATTGGACTGGCTATCCCACTCTCAAGAGTGAAACGACAATAATCTTTTCAAAGAGGAATACCACTGTTGTAAAATACAGACACGAATTGTCAGTAGAATGACAATTATAATTAACTTATGGCTAAGTAACAACAGACTAACTAGCTCCTATACTGTATAGGGCTGTAGGTAGTAGTTAATAAGTTAATAATTAATTAGTGTACTTATTAATAACAACATAAAATCTAACCCTAGAACAGTATAAACGTGAGCAACGTAACCACAATACAAATTCAAAAATTTTTTTAAAAATGTTTTCAATGGTTTCATAAAGTTATACTTACTAATAGATATGAAAATCAATTTGTTTATCTATTTATTAATTATTATTTGTTTGTTTCTTTTTAGAGATTTTACAGCTCAGCAACCTATCAGACAGTGTCCCTATACATACTTTAAAAATTACTTACAAATACGATTACATCGTCCTTATAACATTAGTTGTTAACAATATTACTACTTTTTCCCATAGTTTACAAATTATATAATAATAACATTGCTTTCATTCTATTAAAAGTAGTTCATCATTAAATTAAGAGAAGTTTTTCCTTATAAACAAGTAGGATAAAAATCTTTGTTGTTTCGCTAAGTCCCTTCTATCAGACGTTATCATGTCTACTAATGGCACCACCTGTTAATGCTTTAAGAATGAATGGATAGATTTTAGTTTTTAATAATCTTTCAAATAATGATTTTGTATTAAATTTAACTGTACGATTTTTTAAATTATTATATTATATGATATTATACGAATAATTTACAACCTTTATTATAATGTAATTATTCTGTCATTCACGTACAGGGTCAGCGCATGCGCAAAGTTGCAACATTGATAAATCCTAAAAAACTGTCTTGAAATAACACTGCGCCCTTTTTTGATCTTTGCTTAGTTGTCAGTTAGAGCCGTTTTTCAGGGATTATTTTCTGTTAAAAGTATGAAATTAAAAATTTCCTGAATAATCATATTAAAATTATACATAATAGCTAACTATTGCTCAGTTTGGAATATACAGCCAGAAACAAACCGTTACCTTGTTTAAACAGGTAAAATTCAATTAAAAATTCAGATCAGGTGAATAAAGAGGAATAAAGAATACTCGAAAGCAGATGTCAGTATTGAGTCAATATTGACCTGGACCCATTCTCTTAAATTTATATTTATAAACTTAAATTTATATTGTAATAAACTCCATTTCGCATCGAACTTTTTCAGAAATAAGTAACACTTTGTTATGGTTTTTATTAATATTTAATTTTTTTTAACATTATTATGGTGTAGAGACTGCGAATAAAAATTTACCGTAGTAGTACCAATGTAGTTTTTATTCAAAAAATACTCTTTTTGAGCTTACTTAGGGCAAAAATTAGCATGGACACTACGCGACAACGACATCTATTTAGACTAATTTCTATGTTTGAATTCATTTTATGGGTATAATAGATTAAAGTCTTTTTAAAACAATGTTGATACTATCACGTCATATGCTCATGGTAATAAGTGTTTATTTCTAAACTTCTTTATTGTTAGTGCTACTTTCATACTTTCTAGTAAATTTAAACTTATTAAAGATTTTTATTTTATTGGCATATTTTTAAATCACTACACTGATAAGGTTCTATTTGATGAATAGTAGTAATTTTTGCCTATTATGTACACATAATTGACACCAGAAACTACACTTTGATGGCGACTTTGATGATGGTTTTTACTTTAATTACACTTTGATCCACATTATTTTCTCTTGCTTTAGGATTCCTGGGAAACTAAGATGTTATATCTAACTCTTTGTATTAGTAATTGGACGTCTCGTCTTATACAATTAGACATGTATAATGGTGATATCTACTTAATACTGCTACATAAAATTCTATCAACTTTATGAAAAAATAACATGTCAATACTTTTACGCGACACGAGCGTAACGAGTATAAAATCGTATATCCTAACTGTTATAATATAATACTTTATAAAAATACTCTATTAATTTATTGCATTATTAAACCAGTACAAAATCACTTGTATTTTAAGTTGATAATTTTGTATTGTCTATTACAGGCACCGTCGTTTATTGTCATGAACAGCAGTATGTATATCGAATATATTGTAACGCGCATACGTTTTATGCGTTTTGATTGCTGAAGGTAAAAGTATTTGACTCCATATATGTATTTATATCATGGTATTAGGAAAAAATTCAGCAAATTCGCTTGCTTATTCTTTACTCTCTCCTGTTCTTATAAATATTATTAAAACAGTCTTTTGTACCTTTATGTATATATTTCTATCTGTATTTATGATATTGTATTTCACTTGAATTGTTCAATTGTCACTGTATATTTTTGTTTATGGTACAATAAAGAGTTAAAAAAATAAATCTAAAAAATAACAACGAGTCAAATCCAGGGCACTGTTCTAGTTAAAATTTGAATAATATCACGTTACATAAACTTGTTGTAAACTCTGTCGCAAAATCAGAATTAATAATATTTATGTCATTACTCGTCATAGTATAATTATGTGTGCATAATATACCTATTAATTATTATACTAAAAAAAAGAACTACAACTATGTACATACGCGTCTTGTGGTGGCGGAGTATGATGTGTACCCACTTTTTTTTTATCCCAAAAATTTCGTCAGAAGCGACTAAAAATAGTATATCAAACAAAAGAACAGTACATCAGTATAAAATAAGAAAACTCGATAACAGTAAGCTGATATCCTCTCCTCTTATGAAGAGGATCCCGTGTCTCTCATGATTAACAAATAAAAGGTTAAACATAATTAAACTTCGCATCGAAGTTAAATTTCAAAGTTCAAAAGTTTATAAATTTTATGCCTTCATGAATTTCATAGAAATATTTTTTTTTTTAGTAAACAAATGAATGAATTTTTTTAAGGAATGAAGACTCATTTTATTAATATACATAGGTATATAGATTTTTAGCCTTTTAAACTGCACAAGCACCTACTTTTAACTAAGATTTTTATATTATATTTACTATTAAGTAGGCCCTAATGGAATTGAAACTTGAGTAGGAATACAACAGTCCTGATAGAATTTAGAGGTGTTTGTGGTTTAGAATGACAGAAGGATCGATACGGATGAAGGCTCCCACTTTATTAGGTAACGAACCAACAAACGGTCATTGGTAGGTAGTTGTGTATATTTTCTTTTTACTTTGTAATTTACCTCTTCAAACGAAACCTTATGTTTCTACCATAAGGTTTAGTTTATTAAATGCGAAAAGCTATTGTCACTCGGTTTAGATTTTGGTGTATCTAAAATGTTTTAAAGCATGGAAGACATAGTACTAACATCATAATAGTAGATACTAATACTGAAATATTATAATATGACAGTAACAATTATTATTTTTCGTTTTTTTTTTACAATTTGGACAAATTCTCTCCGTATATATTATCCTATCTATCATAAGTAGAAGTATAAAGAATATAATTTGCTATATTCCTTCATGTTTATTAGAATTAATGTAGAATCAACTTTATATTAAACTTTATCGACTGAAAAAGGTATTATAAAAACTCAGTTTACAATTGGCGAAGGTATCACATAACATACACACAAAGAAAATGTAGGTTAAATGAGAACCTCCACAAAATATACTTACTCTATACTAAATTACAACAAGAGAGTTATATGTATATTACAAAAGTGGATATACTAAACGGTAGGAGGTTTCAAATTTCACTACCACTATTACTCGTGAGAGAAAGACGCCATCTCGTGTCAAGAGTATCGATGTCGCCGTCGTTACACATGAAGGCTTCTGACGTGACTCAGTAAACCTTGAGTTTAGCTAAACTAACCGAAGAAACTAGGAACGCTTAACACCATCCCTCGAAATAAATAAGTGTTGTTAGTGGCGATTACCATTGTCAGAGAGACCTACGATTTTTAATGGATAATTCTGGAAAACACAAAAAAGACGTTCTCTAGAATAAAACTCAAAATCTCCATATAGTAAATTGAAAAGGTACCCTTTTTAATTATTTAGGTGCTTATTACATCATATAGTCAAAATATTATGAGGTACCTACATACTCGATTATGTATAAAGTCGAATCCCAACTTCGACGCTAACGGTCTAGCTATTCAGTGCACAATAGATAAGATAATCGTCTCATAATGACAATATAACGTTAGTGAATGTATGACGGTAAGTGTGTTCTAATGTTATGTAGTAGAGAAGCCAGGCGCGGGTTATCATGCAGATTGCGGGCGAATCAATAGGGGCGCCTCGGCCACTGACGGCGGATGACGATCAATAGCGTCCCAGCGGAGCTGTCTCCGCATTAAGGGGCTTCCTCAAACGCCCTTACACCTACCCACAACCTATCTATGTTTCGTAGGTATGTCATTCCATATTCATTACTTACACGTTGTTGTGCACAAAAAAATGCAATGAATCTAGAAAATTATGTTAGGTATAACAGTACATATTCATAACTTCCTAATCTCTATTTATCGGAAAAAAGGTTCTTAATTATAATTAACATATTATGGACACTTAACGACTTAATCTATTTTTTTTTTTATAAAAATCTGTCATATTGTCTCTGTCTGTCTCAATAAGAAACAGTTATTATGCTTTTAATCTATATATAAAATTAATAATTATATATGCAAATTAATAAACTTCGAAACCTTTTAACCGACCATCATTAAAGTTAGCGCATAATTGTGCAATCGTTACATTACATTGTAATTCATAACTAGATGGCGCTGCTCAATTTTAATTTCTATGATACAATTATATTCATTATGTTATATCATATATATACAGAGATAAATAAATATAAACAGGTAAAACACCTAATTTTGTAGACGTTTTATCACCAGACTATAAAAGTGGGCCATTTCATGATGTGTTGCATGTTACAAAGAGTCACATGAGAAATGTCTCGGCTCTAAACACCATTTTTTTTTACCATTTCCCACGGTACTCTACTTATTAAGCCAAGGTACAACGATGGACGACGAATGATTTAAATTATAATGTCGTACGCCTATACATTTTTTATGCATACTTACAATTCCAAACTTTTATAACTGAACTTAGATACCTCCATTACAAGTCGCAATCTACTTGCGGACACTACAGCTATTGGTAGATATCTACACTATATTTTAATCGGCAATCTCGAAGTAGTTCTTCCAGCAGATAGATAATAAACTACAGAGGTATAACCTTAACTTTGCTGTAATACTCGTTTCTATGTATTGTCATGAGTGCGTGCAGCACATACCTATACAGGTACAAAATTGTATTATATTGCTTCAAATTTGTATTTTAGTAAAAATCGTCAGATAAAGGTTGTGTTATAAATATTTTATAAATAGTTATTACTTATATATATATATATATATATATATATATATATATATATATATATATATATATATATATATATATAAGGTTAGATCGGATCATTGTTAAATAAATAAATACCACTAGATATATTACAGAGCGCCATCTAGTCCCATACTAAACAAAGCCTATGTTAGGACAACTAACATAATTTTTTTTTTGTAAATATGTATATGTATACTACACACTGAAATCGAAATCAATACAAACAGTTACGCTCATGAATACAGATTCCAATTCACATCAAAACAAGTAAAACTATCTAGAAACGAAGCCTTATAACTAGCTACTGTATAAAGACAATAACATCAATCATTGAAAGGAAGTTGTTACCAACCAAACGTGCGATATCTAAACCAAATGTCTTGGGGGGAAAGGGATTGTTAGCAATGGAGTTTGACAGCCCCTCTACGTGGTTCCCCCTGGAAACCATCGTGATTCTTGTTGAATTTGTCATGATGGGCTAACTGACCTGCTTCATCCTCACCTATCATCCTTCACTGGTGTCCCACCGGTGTATACCGATAGCGCGGGTGGGGTTACCATTCCATTATCACCCATAAAAATAACCACGTGTCTTATATTCTGATAACGCAAGAGGCATATTAAACGTGAAAAGCAAATTTTTAACCCTCTTAATCTATTACTGTGACTGATTTTTTTCTATGAAAAATAAAAAATAAAAATAAGAATGCACAAGGAAATATGTCGGATATTCTCAAAAACTTAACAATTTATATTAGATTTAAAAAAAAATAGGTAAAAATAATTAACCTTTTTCTACAAAATACTCTAGTACCTAAAGTTTTTCGTTTAAGTATATACCTACAAGTCATTAACATCAATTTATGATTGAAAAAAATACGATATAGGTACTTATTATTTTTAAGACTTATGTTAACTTTTTATAGGAGGTTCTCAATTTGAATGCAATCTTCCCTTATTCCGCATTGATTTTGATAAATCGTACCTATCCCACGGTGACTTTGTTTCGTGTGAAGTAAATTTTTTTATTAATCTTAAATTATATCTTAATTTATAGAATTTTTAGACAATTTCGACCTAATGAACATACCAATTGTCTGTAATATTAAGTAATACTAGCTGCATCCCGGGGCTATAGGTTTATTTATGCGAGAATTAGAAAAAGGTATTTCTTTTTATACCATTAAGGTGGCAAACAAACATGCAGCTCATTTGATGGTAAACGATTACTGTTGCAAAACTAGAGGTATTACGTGCGCATTACCGATCATTGAGAAACCCTAATATACACTTTCTGAAGAACTTCATAATGTCTCTAGGGGAAACTTCGACAGTGAACTCATTCTACATCCTGAGCGTTCGCGGGAAAAAATACCTTTGAAATCGCATTGTACGTAACCATTTAGGTTCAAGCATGTGAGGATGAATTCCTTGTAGATGGTGAGCGGTGCGATGATAAAAGGTGGCGGTAGGCATCATTTCAAACAATTCCTCCGAACACAATCCCTTATATAAGAGGTAGAACACACAAAGGGAGGCAAAGTCTCGCCTTAGACTTAAGGGTTCGATAACGTCTGTGAGCTTGAGATCGTAAACTATTCTCATAGCTCGTCTTTAAACCGAGTTAAGTATATTCATATCTGTGATATGGAATATCTAAACGTCATCATATACATACACATTTATTACATTCGTACTTACCTAAGATGAAGACGTCATAGGTGTTCCTTGATTTATCTGAAGCCGTTATACTAAATAGAAAACATTACATAAAATAGGAAAGGAAAATATATGCAAAATTGCAATATAGGTATAGAGACAATTTGATCATGGACGTGCACAGTATTACAATATCGCAGATATGCTCTATCAGAGAAAGAAAAAAGATACTTGCATATATTTTGCAAATACTGTGCTGTACTGTGGACTAATAATAATAATAATAACACTTTCCTGAAATTAGGTACATATATATTTAATTTACTACCTGAAAATAGTTTTCAATGTGTCGGTTGTGTAAACCGCTGTAGATATTTAGATATAGGCAATATCGTATTCAAGCGACTTCAAAAAAGGAAGAGGAAAATTAAGACTTTTTTTGTTACCTTAGAATTTGTCATAAAAATTAATTTTAGAAATCTTTATAAGATTTCTAAAATTAATTTTTATCTAAAAGGATATACTTTCAGATTGATCCCATAGTAACTTCATCAAATTCGGTTCAGTACCTTGGTTTTTAAATTAAAAGTAACGTATACTCGCTAAACTATCTGAAATAGCACCTTGTATCGAATCGGCAACGTAGTAATAAAACGCAGCGTACTTTTATTATTGTTAAAATGAGGAAATCAGGTGCATTATCTCATAAACGTTAACGGTCTCCAATCGCAGATACAAATCCTACTGTTAAGAGCATCTAAAGCCCACGAAATCTACAATTTTCTCAGCACATCCACAATTTTGTCCAAAATTAATATGCATACACTTTATATAATTTTTTTCCCATAACAAAAATATGAAAATATCAAGATTCCTGTTAAATGTCCTGTGTTAGGTAATACAATAGATAATAACAATACGAAAAAAAATACTAAAATAAGCACAAATCTTTTATTTATAACATAATTTAAAATGTAAATCTTGTAAAATTCTTGATAAAATATTCAACAATTCTTATTAACGTTAATATATCATTTAATTATAGTAACTTATTTATACTTTTTCATAGGTATATTCATTTCTATTTCTAGGTCTTAATTATTATTTATTTTCACTAATGGCATTCGACACTAGGAATAGATCTCATCAAGTACCTACAATAATTTATATCTAATATAGTAATAACATATGCATTAACGAAAGTATATAACATAACATTAATAAAGCTAAACAAGGTAAACTTTACAAACATAACTCGTCAATATCATTTTGGCACAAATTACCAAATGAATAAAATAAAATTTTGAAATGGTAAATTGTAACTTTAATACAAACCATAAGGGTAATAATAAGAATTTGCATTTTTAATCAAATTCCAAAAAAAGGTTATCTATAAAAATATGATGACTATTTAACATCTCATACAATCATAGATCGTACAACATTATTTAATTCTAGTTCCAAAATTATTATTAAGTTGAAGAAAGAAATACTTTTAAAACTGGTTTTTAGGATACCAATGTAGATCGTTAAAATTACCTGAGTAATACAATTTTGAAGAAAAAAAAACTGTCACATTTTGCAAATTCATAAAATTACCATGACTTCTAGAAAATAATTTTATTATTTTTATTATCATTATTCAACAATGAACATAAGTAATAACTGCGCAACAGGAAATTGATTATTTATGGTTATATTAGCCATATAGACATACAATTTCATTGTTTAAAAATACTGATCTTCGTATGAGGAGATAAAAAGAATTCACTGTTACCACACTTTTATGATTTAATATACATGCCATTTATGACATAGTCATAAATATACAAGCCAGTTATACAGACGCTAAACAATTTCTCTTCATACATCAATATCATTAATATAATCTACTATTAAAATCATTCAACTATTGAATATAAGTATTGACAACTAAACGCTGCAACTGAATACCTACTGAAGTAATTCCTTTCTACGAATTAAATATAAAAAAAAAAATGTCTTAGTAACAGCTTGTGAACACGTAACAAATACAGATGGATACTTGTCAATTGCATACTCATTTAATATATTGTATTAATGGTAACCAAATACACATTGTATATCACTAACTTAAACAATTAAGAATATTATAATACGTATATAGGATGAGATAAAGTGTATTTTAGCACCAATGAAAACATTAAAATTTTGGTGGTATGTTTAATATTTGCACCTAATTATTAATATAGTTTGTCGAATATTAACACGAAGTATTTAACGATAAATATTTACCTCCCTCTATATTTTGAATATTTTGTATTAGTTGTAGTCACGAGCAGGCTCATCTAATTGCACCTTATTTTTGCACTTTTTTTTTTTATTTCTACATAATATTTAGGCACTTTTCAATACAAACGCAAATGTTAGAATTTATTATCTTTAACTGCATTTTCTTATAACTACCTATCTTCTGCCCATAATATTATATAGTAATAGTATTTATACTTGAAATTAGAGTTGTATGTAGTATAAGTGGCCAATAGCACAGCAACTGCTATCTTACTAATACATTAATGTAACATTTCACATATTTGTTATTCAATCACTATTAAACGCCTAAATGGATTTGAATATAGTATACTGATGAACCATAAAATAACACCAACGTTTATTGTCCTAAATCACACGGGAAAACTGCGCGTTAAAATCATTACTAACTGAATCAGGTTTACGGACATGTTTTAAAGTAAATCTCAAAAAGTAGCATATACAAAAAAAAAGAGAATATATCATAACGAAATATGCGCTTATTTAAAGCTACACCTTTACTAATACAAATATAAATACCGCATCTAATTTTACTAATAAATAAATAATAACAACATTTTTCGCGTCTATAAACACTTTTATAAGTGTCCTGACCTATCTATATCTTATACATAGATGGAGTCCCAATAAAACTCAATTTGATGTTCATGTGGTCATAATACTCTGAAATGTCATATGCAAGTAAAATTCACTATTGCAAATTCAGTTAGTCGATTAAACAATATTGAATTGTATTTAAATTACATTATTCCTATACAATTTTTTGTATTATGGGGTTTATTTCTGTATAACATGTAAAAGTCCAAAGGTTGCAAAAATGGCAATTTACAAAATTGCCATTCTTTCATTGTAATTTCACATTATTCTAACTTTAACATATACAATGTAATGATTTTTGTATTGTATATCATAATGTAATCAAAATATATATATGCTATATAACCGTGTCACATCTCTATGTAGTGAAAATACATATTGTAATGGGTGATAAAGACTATTCTAAAAATATTATTTTTTTAGAATAATCTTTATTTGATCACAAATATTTATTACTTTTATATTTTAACAACCTTTGAAATATGAAACAATTTTATTTTAATTTTCCATACTAAATTATATATCGTCAATTTCAAATCTAAAGCTTGTATAGAATGTTTAAAATTTCATATTTCGAGATATGATTCTTAACCCTCTCTTTGCATGATATTTTTTTTATTAGTGAAATAAAACAAGGTGATATAACCCATGTTCAAAATTAAGGAAAAATGATTAAAAAAAATAGATTTGACAGATATGTTTTTTTTTTCTACAATGGACATTAAAAAGGTATCCAGGCACGATCAACTTAAAGTGAACTTCGTCTTTTATATAATTTTTGGGCATTCAATATTATGATGGAAATTTCCACTATTATGCAAAGAAGGGTTAAGGAAAGTTCTATTAGTTTCATGAATACTGTTGCTGAATTTCAACTTACACCCATTCTGTTACAAACTGTATAAATTATAGAAACTAAAAAACTTCAGAAATAACAATCATATAATTGAAATGATTGTATGCAAAATGTAAACACTTATCATATATATATACTTATACTATGATTGTCGTAGTAAAATCCACTCTTACAAAAGAGATACTTTATATTGTATTATATACACTTTAATGTCTATAAAATCCAATATATCAAAATTTTAACTATATATTAATTTCAGTTCAGTGAATGTCTTCTTCAACTTTCTGTTTTAGTTTCACAAGGCACATCATAAAGTCTCAACACCTATTCTTTTTCCTGGCTTAAAGAAAATAGAATGAAAGCTAAGGCACATTTTTTTAAATATAATAAAAAAAAAATTAATTTCTTTGACCATGACTGGTCCACATGTGTTCTTTGAATGTTTCTCGCATAGTAAAGGATCTTGGACATAAGTAACAACACAGTCTATTGGTCAAATCTGAATGCATAAGCCTCACATGATACTTTAGTGCAGACTGATTTGAATATTTCATGCCACAGTGAGGGCAATCACCACAGATTGCTGCATGATTAGATTGTTGGTGGGATACTCCTTGCGATGTTGAAGGGTTGGTACCTAACACAGGAACATTCATACCTGCCAGTAACAACAAAGCCTGTGATTGTTCTTGACTGTATGTATTTTCAGTATCTGTACCATCTTGATGTTCTGATAATAATACTTCTGGCTCATATTCCATTTCTGACTTTGGAGACTGGTTTTCTGGCTTTACCACTGTTTCATCAGAAGATGGAGCTTTAAGTGGACTCTTAATAAAGGTAACTGTATCTGTATTTACATCTTTTGCTCTCGTGTTTGGTATATCTGGTATGTTGGATACTTTCTTTATTGTACTATTGGCACAGACTTCAGTTTTAGATGGGTTTATACCTAAAACAAAAACCACAATATACCTACATAAATTTGTGAAATAACTTCTAGTATATTAAATACAATTTTTAACAGAAGGTTATGGTTATATTGTAGTAATGAAGGGTATATTTCTTAGTTGGACATTTATAAGGTACAAATTGGTAATTATGCCTTTATGTATAATCACATGCAGAGTGGTCTTGGCATAAAATGGGCTACCCTTTTCTTTCCCGTGGGTGTCATAAGAGGCGACTAAGGGAACTAAATGGTTGAAGGAAAGGTAACAGTGTCCCATCATCAGTCTCTTAAACATCACCAAAAGCCTAACTGTGATTATCAACCTGCACACCAAGCTTGGTAACTACTGGCAAAATCTCAATTATGCATGAGGCCTATATTCAACAGTGGGCAGTTAATAGTTGATATGAAATATGAATGTATATTCATGACACTAGTAAACCAGACAATTTGGTGCCACTCTTTGAGATTATAATAATTTTTAATATTATAAAAATAATATACAATACTAAAGTTATGGAATAATGTCCAAAACAATACACAGCTGTATTATAAAACAATTGTTACTAAGATATTGAATAAATTTTAGAAACCAATGTAAATGAATACGTAATAATATAATTTTTCCAATAAGGGAATCAGTTTTCTTTGTATGCCTAGTCAATTTTTACTTACAAACATTTGTTTTTTTATACAGCTGTGTATTATATAGATACATAAATAAATTTTTATATTTTATATATTGTGAATTATGCTGTCACTTATACTTTTTAATAAGAAAATAAAGTAAAACATATATTTGCATTACCTGAGAGTAAAGATCTAGCAAGCATGCTATTTTCATAATCTGGAAGACTATCATCATTTTCAGAATTATTTAAAGGAGGACCTATAGATAAATTATCTTCATCAATTCGTTCAGTTTTAATAATAACAGGAATGTCACCTTGTGTACCTGTAACCTGCAATCAAAATTTATTATCATAGGTCTATTCCTTAATAAAAGTTTTTTATACACAACATAACTGTATATTCAGAAGCTAGAGACAATTTAAAACATCTGTTTTTTATAACAGACATAAAGTATGACTTAAGTAGCTCCTAACAGACAAAATATAAGTTGTGTGTTTACAAATAACTAAGACACATTCAATCATCCACATCACAATTGAAAAACATAAGAAATTTAACTAGCAAGTATGTAAGTCTGATATACCTATTTTTCCATTTACCTGGATAGATGTAGAATTTTTTCCATTAGTAGTTATAACTGTTTGTTCATTTTTGCCATCACATTTTTTATCTACACTATTTTCAGATACAAAAGTTGCATTATCCGATTTAGGCAACTGTGAAAAACTATTCCTATTGTAAATATCACATGTTTCCAGAAGTTTTCCCTTCTTACTACCACTTTCTCCAATTGTTACATCATTAGGCTTATCAGATGTACTACTTCGCCGTTTTTTCAAAGCAGGTATTTTTGTTTCTTTGTGACCAGAACCAAACTGTGACTTTGCTGATATTGTCAGTTGTGTATAAAGTTTGTTTGATGTATTAGGAGATGAAAAATTATCTTTCTGAAATGTAATAAATAAAGTTAAATAATAATTGCTAAATAATACATATCTAATTTAAGAATGTAATAAAATTAAATATATTACAATGATAATATTGAATATAAATATATTGTGTGTAATAAGAGTTTAAAATAGCACCATAGACAATAAATAACAAGCATTTTTTTGTTTGATGGCTGAAGTTCATACCTAGTAATTAATAAGTACTTTCTTTCTAATGTTACACACACTAGAATTTTTTTATATGATTCTCTAATAATAGACAAATCAAAATTTATAAATAAAATTATCTACCTGTTGGGTTACTCCTGTAAGACCTTTGACTTGTAATAGGGCTGCTGTATGCAAGAATGATGACAATTTGCTTTCTTCAATAAACACTTGTCCCTGGTACATATAAGACAGTAGGCTTACAATATCATCAGCCGACACATCTTTCAGAATTATAACTGGATGCTGACAGGGATTTTCCTAAAAAATATAAATTTATATGTATAGTGGAAAAATCTTATGAGAAAGGTACAGGTACACACAGGTATTTTGAGGAGGCAAACCATAAAAACAGCTGACTTTATAACATAAAAATAACTATAATTATGAATGTGTTAGCAGAAAGATGAAGGTTATTAATGTCCCGAGTCATTCACCTTGAACACATTCCTGAAGTACGGACTGCACGCGGACAGTATGACTTTATGGGCCTTGATGTTTCTGCCCTCGCAAGTGAGCGTAACGTCAACCAAATCTTCCGAACACTTAAGTGAATCTAAAGCACTAACTATATTAGTTTGGAAATTGTTCCAACGTAAACAAAATTGATCTGCCATTACTGTGTAGTATTCGGAAAAACCTGCAAAAATAAATAAATTTGTTAATCACAATTTTTCTCAATCAAGACTTCACTGAAATAAGACACATTTCCAATTAAAGAAAACTCACCAGTTGTAACCTACGCATCACATTAAAAATATCATTAGACTTTAATCAACTAATGTCTTTTTAAATTAGTATTTGTTAGAAAAATGCATAAAAATGCAATGCATCATGACCTCCATTGACACTTTCTTTCACTTTCACTTTTTTTTTTTTTTTTTTTTTTTTGTATTTGTGTTGCCTAGTCTTCAAAAAGATAAATTGTCTGGAATTCACTTTCTGTATTTGTGTTGGTATATGTGTGTGCAATGCTCTTACATACCTACATTTGTCTATTCATAATATCTATGATTTAACAGCCAGTACGAATGTCAGTGTGACATGACTGAGATTATAGTTATTTTAAGAAAACACAATTGAGGCACTTTAATTTCCAAAGTTTTACTTATACTATCATAGTATAGTAAAGCTAATGAATATAGTAATATAGTAAGATCATATTCTCGTTTCTACTTGTCTTGATTGAATATGCATTTTTTCTGATTTGATAGTTTAATATGTTCTTTATTTCTCGTGCCCTCTACTATCGAACTTGATTGAAATGCGCATTGACAGAAGAGTATAAATATGCAAAATAAAGATAATATTTACATAAAACAGGAAGACATTCAAAATTGTTCGATTTTTACTTAATTTTATAATATTATAACAAAATCATTTAACGCTACATTATCTATCTTTGGCTAAGATCTTGAACCTGAGTTCATTAACTTTTAATTAGTGTCTTACCCTCTTACCAAACTTTCGGTTTCGGCTAGTTTCGGCTAGAAATTCTACTTTCGGCAATAGTTTCGGTTTCGGCCAAAAAATGGCTGAAACTTTATGTGTATGTTTATGTTGTGTGTGTGTCTAACTGAAAGTTATTTTTTTAAGTTTATTTCCAAGAGTAAGTCATAATTTTAACATGTTTTTACATATAAATATATATAACACATTTGTTACATACTTTAATTAGTGTTTATTATTACCCTTTAACTATCTGTGTGTTTCTGTAAATAATTGTGTGAAAAATACACTAGATTTCAGTATAGAAGAAAAATTTTAAGTATGTTTCAGTAAGTTTCGATTTCGGTTTCGACTGTAAAACCTGTTTCGGTTGGACACTACTTTCAATGAATCGTTTACTTCTTCAAATGGCTGTTGACAAAAAAACAATTGTGATCAATACCATTTAAATATCGAATATAGCTGTCAATCGGACTATTATGCTTAACGAGCTCCGCGCCCATGTTTTTGGCTTGTTTAACCAATCACAATAGATATAAATCTATTGCTGCTGCAACTGCTTATAACAAACATCTTCATGCTAATCGGATTGTATTCCGCTAAAATTTAATGATTATTATTTGTCTGCTTTATTTGTTTCTAGTCATATTGTGTTGTACGTATGATAATTAAGAAATTTACTTTTGAAAAGTAAAATTTTTATATAATAAGATTTGTAATCATATAGTTATCTCATCGAGTACAAGGTGTAGGTAGGTATGAAGCATGATTTTAATTTCAATTTGCGAGCCTCCGCAACTTTATTTAAAACAACTTTATATTTTTGTTCTACAAATTTTTCTGATTGTCTATACTATATATGTTGCTATAATATATATAATGATAAAAATATTATATTATATTTTTTTTGTATAATTTTTGTAATAAAATTTATTGGTTATTCTCAAGTTCTTCTTTTAGGTTTTCTTCTCTAGATTAAAAATGTGCTTATGACACGTCTACGTGACAATTGTAAAATTGACATTGACAATTTGACAGACAGAGAGTGACTCGAAAATACTCGAAATATCTCGAACGAATATTAACTACAACGATCGTCGTTTATTGTTGTTGTCATAGCATTGACTTGGTGAAATTAGAATTTTATCTTTATATTCTTTTCTTTCTTTCTTACTAACATAAAACTTGTAGCTATAGCCGCATTATTATCCAATTATTTCCTAATCGATCAAACAATAACGATGGCTAATGATCCTGAAAGATTTGATTCAATGCTTCTTGCCATGGCACAGCAGCATGAAGGCGGCGTAAAAGATGTAAGTCGGTTTTGAAATAATTTACGAAATATAAAATCTAAAAGGTTATTTTGATAGCATTTCATAAAACTTAGAAATACTCTTTTTTCTTACCGTTCTAGGAACATTAAAATTGTCACACCATGTGATTGACATGATTCTTAGTTTTCATGAATTATCACTGGTATCACCAGTCTCCGTGAAAAATTTATAATACGAAATTGATGTTCCTATTTTTTTATTTATTATAATAATGAACATCTTGTATTAAGTTCTTTGTTTGATTTAGGTTAGAAAAATTACAAATAAACGGCCTACCCACCTGGTAAAAAGTTGTAATTGTCACCTATAGACAGAAATTACAATTAATATCACAGACTATTATGCCCATAGTATCCGTCTTTCAAAAAAAGTGTTCACACTCACTTTTTATCTTTATCCGAGCAGTAAGTGCTTTATATTATTCCTAAATTCGTGTATGATATCATATATGCGTGAATATATTTGTTATTCATATATATTTATTTATTTATATATGTAATTTTAGTATGTATGTATATCAATAATTAGTAGTACCGCATTCGAGTATTCTGACACTTCCCTATGGTTGACTGGGAGAGAATGCTTTTAGCATTAAGTCCGCCATATACACATATTTGTACTAATGAATAAATAAAAAATAAAATATCCTCTTGCATTGCCATTCCTAAGGATCCAAGGTGTTATGCTTTTGTACCTTATAATTTCACTGCCATAACCTATCTATCAAACAGAAACACAGTTCATAACCAGAACATATTAACATTATAAATACATTTTATCACAATAAAATAATCAGTGCTTATGACAGTTTATAGAGGAGGCCAGATTATATAAAGTTTTCTTATATAATATATTATATTCCTCTTGTTTTAATTAAAGTAAATTATATTATTTTCTAGCTCTTGAAAACAATTGTTGGATTTCTTGCAAGAAAAACAGACTTCTTCACTGGAGGCAAAGAAGGTGACTGGGAAAAAGTAAGTTTATTTAACCAATATTTTGTTTTAAATAGTTTTATTTAAATTTATTTATGGGATGACTTTATATTTTTTATTATTATTATCTCATTAATATTTTTAAAACTCATTTTTTAATGGTGTCTATATACATGCATAAGGGGAATTTTACAAACTTTCTATGTTTGTTGTTTCTGACAAATGTTTCAACTTCAACTAGAAGTCTTCATGGTGTATACATTTATTTTTATTGTGCATGTATATAGAATTCCATTGGTAGTAACCTAGTAACACTAGTAATAGAATACAAGAATACTTGATACTGGGTAGAATACCATGAAACTTAAATGACATTTTCTATTAAAAAACATTAACTTTTCCAGCTGTAAGTTATGTTACAAATGAAAATGCATTTTTTTCTGAAGTAATGTAATATTACTAAAATTTATACCTACATATTTATTAGTCTCAGCATAAATTTAAAAATATTCTTTGCAAAATGATTACCCTTGATTTTTATACAAGCCATTAATCTGCCGGGCCACGAATCTATGGATTTATGCACTGTTTTCAAGGGAAATTTAGCCAAAAATATTTTAAGAGACTCAATGTTGCTGTGTCATTTAGAGCAGGCTATGTCCTCTAAATCTGACCACAATTTGAAGTCTAAAGTATTGAGGTTTGGGCTAGATGAGGGCCAGTCTTCAGCTCTTATAAAGTCCGGAACATTGGTTTTAAGCCAGGCTTGGGTAGGTCATGCCTTGTGACCAGGTGCGGTGTCCTGCTGGAAAGTCCACAGTATATTTTAAAAAAATCTATTGCTGAGAGGTTTCACAGCATGATCCAAGACTATCTTGATACACTTTAGCTGAAGTTTTCACTCCTTTTTCGCAAAAATGTAGTATCGTGGCTCCTTGATAAGACACAGCCCACTAAACCATCACTGACACAGGTTGATGACCTGGTTGTACCTTTCCGTCCATTTGAGCAGCTTTTTTAAAACTGTGAGCATATACTTTATCATTGTAGTGTTCTTCAATCGTAAAAAAAATTTTATCATTAAAAAGGATATTTCTGTGCCTATCAGCTGTGTATCGTGACAGAAGGCGTTTTGATCGATTTATTTAATTGTAAAGTTTGATTTAGGGCATATTCTGTATGTCATTGATAAACACTGAGCTTCAGGTCTTGTTTACGCGATAGATACTTGATATGTGACAGAGTCCTAGCGGGAATCTTCATTTCTCGCGATAAGGTTTTTCGCTTTAACAGCATTAACAGTCTTTGTAGTTCTAACAGCACTTTCTGTCTTCGACGGAGAAAATGTTGTTATAGGTAGCTCTATACCCACTTTATGCAAAGCGATCACTGCAATCCTATTTTCTTTAACACCCCATTCCATATTGTAATTTGATAATGAACATGAAAAAATATGTGAAATGGCACTAAATCTAAAGTTTTTAAAATAACAAATGTGTTTCAAATTCAAAATAATTAAAAAGTTGAAAAAAAAGAAAAGTTTTTATGTAACAGTATCTATGGCCAGACTAGTTATTTATCAAGTTATCATAACAGTTTCTTTGTCAGTATTTGAGTAAACAAAATGGTAAATATCTAAGCTATGATTTTTTTCTATTAAAAACTATATGGTTTTTATTTATTAAAATTAATAATATCTATCTTTTCACATCTTTTGTGAAATAGGGAAAAAGAACAGTCTCAAGAGCCTATATCCTTACATGTTTTGCTTCATCTAGTTTTTATATCTCATCCCATGCATGTGTATCAATTGTTTATTATTTGTTTGCTTTGAATATGGTTATCTTTATGGACAAAAATACTACCTTTTCTTCTAACAAGAATGATAAATACTATTTTTGTTTTATTAAACCCACTATACATAAGGCACAAAAAACTAAATTTATTAACTTAAATTACTTAAACCTATGCTAATTTAGAATAGTTTGTTTCTAAATTTGTTTGTTTTAAATTGTTCTGACAGCAAATAAAACCTTAAAACTGATTTACGCAAAGCAATCTCATTATTGTGTTATGGAAGTTGTAATATTTTTATAAATAATAAATTTACTCCCTGTAGGTTGTTAAAGACACATTCTATGAACATGCAAAGAAGGCGCGTGATGAAGCAAATAAAATAAAGAAAGAAAAAGAAGAAGCTGATAAAAGATTGAAAGATATTCAGCAAAGAAAAGAACAGGAAAGGCTTCAGCAAGATTTTGAGGCTGCTTCTGTTACTGAAATCACAGATCAAGAAGCTGCCAAATTGCAGGAGGATATTGAAAAAGATAAAAAGAAAAGTAAGAATTTTTATGTATATTGATAAGAGTATTTTGAAATCTTAATAAAAATAGCAATGTCATTATCAATGTCATTATATTCATTGTGCTCTTAAAAAGATAATTAAAAAATAAAATTTATACCCACTGCAAATGTAACTATTTCATTTTGAATAGTTATATTTGCAGTTCATTACAAACACATAAAATGAAATGACTACCACAAATGTTTGTGGGAGAAAATGTATGTTAGGGTTTAGTGCCAAAAAGTGAAAAGATTTTTTATTGTGTGACATAGTCCATTCCGTCTATTACTGCAGGTAAGCTTACCATTCCTTTTTCATTAAAAAAAGTATCATACTATCAAAAAAAGTACTTTAGCAACTATTTATATTATTGATTTTAAATTAAAATGGTAACAGTTTTATATATTGTTGACTCAACCATAATAATATATATTTAAAAAATATTTATGTATATATGAGAGGATGGATCCTCTCTAGTTTGCATATTCCAAATCTGTATTTATTTAGGTATATCTGTGTACCACTACATATAAGAATATAGTTAAAGTAGTATGGCACTAAAATCAAGGCATATGATTTTTGTTAATTATTTTGTATTGTACAATGTTGTAAAAAATCACATACTTATTAGCCAGAAATTTTGTAATTGTATGGATTCTAATTTATTCTGGAAAAGATCGCGTATTATCTTTCACTTCATTTTTTACGCGTAATAAAAACCATTAATAAATGCGAGATAAGTTAAACATAATCATCTTTTATATTTTTTCTAGAAGCGGAGCTTGGTAGTGGCGATGAAGGCGAAACAGTAGAAGCAGATACACCAGAAGATGATGATGATCCAAAAGAGAAAGGCAAATTGAAGCCAAACTCGGGCAATGGGTGCGACCTTGAAAACTATAGGTGGACCCAAACTTTAGAAGAAGTCGAGGTATGTTTTTTTTAATGGGTGAAAATGGTATGCACTATCAGTATATGCTGGCGGAGCATCAGTGAGAGGTGATAGGTGAAGGTGAAAGCAGGTCAGTTAGCCCATTGTGCAGAATTCCATGAGAATTAACCATGATGGTTTTCAGAGGTAACCGCGTGGAGGTCGACCTGATAGGGTACATTGCAAGCAATGGAACTGTTTGATCCCATTACTACGAGGAGGGATCAAAAAGTAGAAAGAATGAGATAGAATATAATGACTATTGATAACTTAATCATTTATTTTTCTACATAGCCTCCAAGTCTCTCTACACACCGAGTCAAGTGCTTTTCCAAGACTTCAATCCCTTTTAAAAAAAAAGTTTGTCTTGGTCCTGCAAAAAGCTCTCTACGGCATTCATTACCTCGTTATCATCTTCGTACCTGTTAGCTAGGTGCCAGATCTGGTGAATAAGGGGGGTGGTCAACTAATTCTAAGCCAGCTTGCTGACTAGCAGCCATCACAACTGCCGACCTGTATACGGGTGCGTTGTCGTGATGAAACAGCACGCCCCTTCGAAGTTTATCTCTCCTTTTCTGTTTAATGGCATTCCTCAACTTGGGAATTAAAGCTGCATAATATTGGCCTGTAATAGTGGTTCCACGCTTCAGGTAATCAATCAACAATATCCCTTCTGAGTCCCAAAATATCGAGGCTGTAACCTTGCCAGCCGATGCCACGGCACGAAACTTCTTCGGGGTCGGTGATGATGGCCGTTTCTATTACGAAGATTGCTGTTTTGTCTCGGGATTATAACGATGGACACATGTTTCGTCCATTGTTACGAAACGAGACAAAAAGTTTTCAGAATCTTAAAACTTGTCCAACAATATCTTCGAAATGTCAAGTCGATTTTGTTTCTGATTGTCTTTTAACATTCTCGGCGCCCATTTTCCGGAGGCTTTTCTCATACTCAAAGATTGTTTCAATATGGATTGAATACTTTCATATGAAATGCCCGTTTTTTGAATTAAGTATCGGATGGTAACTCATCGATCGCTCAATACAATTTTCTCGTCTTTCGCAACATTTTCTTGGGTGACTGACGTCGATGGACGGCCGCAACGATGTTCGTCTTCCGCGCTTGTTCTCCCTACTCGAAATTGAGAAGCCCACCTTGCGACATTGGAGTACGACGGAGCAGATTCTTCTAATGTTGCCTCCAAATCGCAATGAATGTCTTGCGTCGTTAACTTTTTGAAACAGAGGTATTTAATAACGACTCGCACTTCTTTTTTCTTCATTTTCAAGAACACGTTCCGACACGAACCATACAAATGACTACATTCAGAAAAAACAAAAGAGAGTCGAATTTTCTTTATTAATATTACGAATATGTATCTGAGCTATGCCTGCCAGTATTTTTTTTTTTTCTCTCCAAGAAGTATGTCGTTCTCACTACTTTTTGATCCCTCCTCGTAATAATTCTTTCCCTCAGTCCCATTGTTTTCCACGTTGCTGCTATACTGTGTAGGAGACTGAGAAAGAATTGGCATGGGAGTTTTTGTCCCATTTATGTTATGATTACATGTATAGGCAATAGGTGAAATACAACATGTGGAGGTATAACTCATACTCCTCCGAAATAGTAATGTATGAGGAGTAGTAACATTGGCATCTTACAATCAATACACTTTATATTAGATCTGTGAAGACCATTTTGCTTTACGTGCATAGGCATTTATAGAAATGACTGTTTTCACTTTCAATAAGACTGACAATTTGTTAGCCATTACAAGCTGCATGAAAAAAATTCAATATTTGTTATCCACACATTACTTCCAAACTGTTTTATATAACTTGACCCTACTTGTTGTAGTTAAATATTTGTAAGCTCCATTTCTGACGAAACTTAAATTATTATTATTTGTCCTCTTAGCCATTTACAGAACTGCGGTCATTCGTAAACTGACAACTTTGATTGTAAATTGTTGTTATAGTTGACTTTAACGATTTATTGGTCAATTGCACCGACCATATGACATTGATATCGTACAAGTGACCAAAATAAGCCTTATACTAATGGTATAGTAAATATGAGTGAGTTATTTTTGGCCCTATAAGAGATATAATTACCTACCTATTTTGCATACTTCAAGACTCTCACTATTCATTTTTGAGTGAGGTGAGACTGTGTGGTACCTAAATACTTATTATTTACAAATATTAAAGATTTAGGGTAATCCTCAATCTACTGATTACATGTACGCATCGCAATCTTCTATAATTCATGTAAATAGCCCTATATACATCTCAGCACCATTTAGACTGCAACTAAGCAGCTCCTGTTATTTTATGATAACTAATAGACTAACTTTTATACTTGTCGTGGGCAAATCTTGGAATTCATAACTTCATAATTTTATTTATTATATTGTATAGTAATTTTATGAAATGCTTGTGTTTCATGATATGTCCAGCTGAAACCGTCAACTTTATACATTAATCTATGTTTGATCATATTATTAATGTAGGGTTTCTATGACATTTGAGTAACTTTTGTATAATTCAGTAGTTTTGTGTCTTAACGATTTATAATTTCACTTTTATCTTTAATTAGCACATTATTATTATTAGCTTTTTATCAGAATCGCCTTCATGATACATCACAGAAATAAAACGATATTAGCGCCTCAAATGGTGGAAAACTATTTTACAATATGATCACTAATGTTTGACTATATTGTAAAATAGCTGAGCATTTAGCTTTTTATATCGTCAAACAATATAAATACTTACCTGTAATGTTATAGGTACAGGATATTTAAAAACAAAAGTAAGTGTTACATGTACTTTATTTATATAATTTATCACAGTTCTTTCTTAACAAACATACTTTGTTACACATTACTAGAATCATTCAATTCCATTCACTGTAATTAAAATATAAATAATCTTAATCTATGACATATTCTCTATGCATGATCCATTAGGGTGTAAGTATAACAATGCTGCCAGCATTGCTGTACCACACTATGTTTAATTGGGTTGCTAGTAATGGATCATTTAATATTTATTTATTGTGAAAATTGCAAATTTTCATGTTATAGACAAAAATGTGCAATCTTTTTCACCAATTTAAAATTTTATTACCAATAATAATTAATTAATATTATTTTATATTTCTTTTGGATATACAATTATAGACTATAATATGTTTAATTACATTTTATCCAAAGGTATTCAACATTGGAATATTTGTTTTACTACTTACATACTAAATAGTTTCAAATTATTGGGAATTTTAGAAGGTGACCTACATTAAAATATTGACTATTTTGTCTATTTTAATGTAGACATAATAGATTAGTTTAAGACTTAAATTCGCCAAGTACTAATTATCTATATAAAAGTCTTAGACAACGGATTTAATATCATGTAAGATACACATGACACATGATCAATTTCTCATGTTTCCTCTTATTTATGATACCTTCATATTTTTTGCTAATTTTATTATATTCGTAAAAAGAAGAAGATTATAAGTACTGCGATAAAAATCGTAAGATGGGTTTAATTTTAAATCGGTTTGAAAATGTTTAGTATAAAAGTAAAAAGAAATGTTATATTAATTCTGGTATATGAAAAGAATTCCATTTGAAAGAGTGACGAAACAGATTTACAATGCGAAAGGTATAGCGGAGAATTAAACTAACCGGTCATAAATCAGACAGACTATGCACATACTAAAAATGTAGTCAAGAGTTAAGAGACCATTGATACTCATTTCTTTTTGTTTACCACATAAAGGGCTTGGCGTGAACATAGATGGTATATTTTGGATATTATTTTAATATTTTTCATATATTATACATATTCAGTGATAGAATTTGATATGAGGATACTCATAGCAGAGTTAAAGTGACCGACAATCTAAAGGATAAACGAACTAAATCAGCGATAGGTTGGTCATGTGGTTCGAAAAACGGACAACGATAGGAAAGAAAGGCACTTAAGTGGAGAGCCTGTACAGGCAGCTGTAAAAGGCAGTATAGGACGACCCACTAGGTGGAGCGCCGACCTTAAGTACATTACATAGGGTCGATTGATGCAGGTGGCACGGGACTGCTTCTTATAAAGCAGTGGACAGTTAATGGCTGATATAATGATGATACTTATTCAGATGAATACAAGGTATCACTTCGGGATTAAATATGCAATTTGAAGTTGTATATTTAATACCGAACTAAATTTCTACATAGCTAATTTTATAATTTACATATAGAAGATGCGCTACAATTTAATTGCAAACACAAAAAATACAATAAATAAATATTTAAATACTTAACTAAACACATTTATATAATTGTAAAATACCTACTTATTGTTTTTTTTCACAATAATAGATTAAATTGGGTTTATTGCACTAATTCGCCCATTATAGAAAAAAAATTGTGCGCGGATTATTTATTTTAATAGCACGACACAAATACACTACCTACGTAAAACTTTTTTTTTTAAATTAAATAAGTAGGCATAGTGACATCAATTTAATAGAAAATAATTAGATGTAGTTTTTAAACATTATCGGAAAAAAATACAGATTTATTTTAATAATAATTTTTTAGTTTGTATTTTTCACATGATGAATGGTCTGATATTTATTTAATATAATGTTTGGAAAACTAGATAATAGTAATTTACAAATAAAAATTGATCTAGTTTAATCGTAAATGGGTACCACACACACATTCATTAAAGTATATTTACTATATTACTACTACAATGATAATATGTTTTCAACGCACTTTATAATATTTTAATGAATATAATTAATTAATACTTTTAGTGCTTGTTTATTTTCCAATATTCTTTGAATTAAGAATATTTGTAGATTCCGGTCTCCTTACGCATTCGCACTGAAACAAAAAAAAAATTAAATATATAACTCAGTTTAAAACAATGAATGTTTCAGTCATATAGTACCTGTAATAAGTGGTAATTTTCATGATTAAGTTACTAAATACTATGATTAAATTATGAAAATAGATTATCACCGGATGTATGCCTTTCATACATAGAAAATTATATACACGGAAAAATTTTGATTATTTTCCTATTATGGAAGTTATTGTATTTAATGCATAAAGTATCTGACTATTTTATGTGTTAGTTACAAAATAATTTTCTTATATTTTTGTTACTTTAAAGGTATCTTATATTTAATAATATAAGACATATCTTTATTGAACATAGACAAATCTAGACAATACTTGCGTTTATTCATAATAACTAAACCGTTTAGACTGGACGAAAAAGATTCGAACATACGTACTTATCCAATAAACATTTGGAATTCATTGTCTAGGCTAAAAAAGGTTTCGTTTATTACGAATAGTATTGATATGTCGATGAAGGCTAGCTTGCACTTACTTTCAACAAAGCATATGGCCGCTAGAATGCACGCAGAGAATAAAATCGTCATGGATATCACAAGAACGGTTATTTGGTGGGAGTGATCACAGCAGCAAGACTTTGGCTCTTTGCCGGGTCGTTGCTTTGTGAATCCATTCACCACTGTAAAGTGCGTAGAACTCGCTACCGATGTAGCATCCTGTCCATTCGCCGATCCCCTCTTAACGCCTGTCCAAAACGAATCCGCCTGGTCTCGTTCTTCTGGAATAGTTACGACGGCTGGGGAGCGATCCGTTTTGCATATATAGTTATTTAGCTTTGAATTATAGCATCCATATTCTTCTTGAATAGAATTCCCTTGCATCCGCGCTAAATATGCAGCGTTTAGCAGGAACGAGCCGGATGATACGCTCTGCAAATTATACATACCAGACTATGAAACATTTTGTTAGCAAGTAGTACACGCCAAACTGGGAAACACTGCCAATAATATTTTAAGGAGGTCAAATTCATTAACGTTTAAACCTATGTAATACGGATATTTTACACGTCATATTTTTTACATTGTATAAAGATACTTTGAACTATTTATTTTATAATCCAATAGTCAATCAAGTACAAAGCTTCGGAATATTATTAAACTCTTGTGTAGAACTGTGCTTAAAAGGTTGTATTTTGGTTTAAAAGATGGGCTGTGGTAATGATATGACTATATATGGAAGTAGTAATAGGTCTGTAAAGAGGGTTCAATAGGGAATGCATAAACAAATATTAAAATCGATTCGAAATTAATTATTTTCCAAAAAAACTGACAGACGGATAGAATTATATAAGTTCTTACTTTGTTACTCATGTATACAATTGTACGCTACATGTTCGCAAACACTGAATACATACACGATTTGTTGGCTCAACCAATACTTAAAAAAAACTAATATAATCTATAAGAATTTTAACACTATGTATCAACAAAATTTCATGTGTAATTAAAAGGTGCAATAAACTCGTCATTCACTACTCATATTCAAGTAATAAGAAAAAAAAAATCAAACAGGATTTAAAATCGGACATGGCAATATCAGTTCGTTTGTTGACCCTGTCATTAACAGAAACATCTAATTCTAGTTCAAGAATGCAAAAAAGTGTTTTTGTTAAGATAACCAAGTCGATCAAGGAACTAAAAAGCTTGACGGCGAGGCGGAGCTAAGTTTTTGTTGCACAAAAAAGATAAAATTACTTATAATGATGTTTGTAGCGATTTGTTTAAATAAACGACTGACATGTGTACTGTGATTGCTTGACGAGCCTTGGCTGGATGCAGAACCTCCGCGGGATCGTGAGTCGCTTATACTACTCCCAGTTGCACTGCTACCAGATAAGGATGGTCGCGGTATATGCCACTCATTTGTTGAGATCTGAAACAAATAGTCATCTTATTTAAGTATAAATTATTATTGGAGATTGCTTATATATAATAAATATTTTCCTCTATATTTTCTAAGGTTTAAGATCAGACTAGAATAAAAGGGCAGCAGGTATATAAATAGCAATGCATGAGGTGTGACCATGGTTGGCACGGTAGGTAAGTTGAGATATTTATTTTGTTGTTCATTTCTGTAGACTATCTTCTCTTCATCGGATATGTCGTCAATTAATTTACCTACTATACCCAGTAGTATAAAATTTATAGTTGAATTTAGTATCATGTACTAAGTTCTTTTGTCTTTTGTTCGCTTGGAGCTAATTGTAAACAAGTTTAAATGGATTTTATACCGGTTTTGGCAATAATTTGTCCGATTCTAAAAATGATTTATTGTAGTAATATAGATTCTGTTGATTTAAGTATTGATAGAGTGTCGTATGATTCATTAAGGTGTCCCCGTTACGTATTAGATAGATGCCGACATTGCGCATACATTGCGTTTCGGTATAAAGGATAAGGTCAATGTAATCATTGGCAGCTTAATTTCTAAAGAGTGGCAATGTATGAGAGGTGCCATGGGCGGCTTGGTATAATGTGTGATGTCCGTGCTGTTAGTTAATACTATTTTGTTCATTGTAAGTTATATAAAAATATAGTTATCCGTAGTTAATGATGTTTTCAAGGAGTCTACACTTTATAAAATACACCTATAAATGTAAACTATTGTTCTTTATGTGCTTTTGTACGTTCACTTTTAATATAGATATTAGGGCTATAATAAAAATGAATACAGGCGGGCTTATCTCTTAAAAGAATTTCTTCCAGTAAACTATTGTTACGTGTTATTTTCTTTTAAAATTAGCATACTGATATATAATGACATTCAATTCACATTTAAAACAATCACATTCATACTGTTTTACAACATTTTATATTTGTCTTATTATTATAAATTATATTATTCTATTCGATTACTTGTTGTCCTCTCAGATATAAATGCTGTTATTTACTTTGCAGGTTTTCTAGTATAAATTGTGAGTAAATATTCAAGTTCATCTGTATTTACATACAAAATTAGCTATCTCGTTTGACCATACTTAAGGTTAAATTGCGACATTGTTACATAGGATCATTGAATATATATACATTATACTGTTTGTGGTTTCGATCCGCTTCGGCCAGTAATTAGTAATAACAATATTCACAGTGTTCAAAGATGTCCTCATTAAAAGGTGCCCAAATTCTCATTTTGGTGTTCTTCTATTTAATACGTCCCTGCTTCCTTGTTTAACATTACTATTAAAATATATCTTTCTTTACTTTAATCTGATTGAGTCTGGTAAATTATTTGCCTAGATTGTACTAAATCTAAGGTGGCTCTAAATATAGTTATTAGTGATCGATACTTTGTAGTTATTAATATAGGCCGTTTACTTCTAGATTTGCAGTGGTGAAACGACAATACATCACATCTATGTCGTTCAATTGAATATATTTTTACATTTATGGAAAATACAACAATAATTTTCTTTTGCATTAAATGATCATTTGTTTTTCCTGTAAAGGATAATCCGCTTTGATTATATTATTACTTGGTGGTAAATCACCTTGTATGTATGTATGTAATGGTCTGAGGACTTGAATGAAATATAAATTGATTATTGCACCAAGTGTTCGGTCGATACTTTACGTTTTGTAATTTTTTTTTTCTCTATGAAATATAGCTATGATAAAAGAGGGAGAGAGAAATAGAATATTACCTAAAAGTATAACGAGGGCAAATAGTTTTCATTTGTCAAATAAAGTTACATTGATTTTGTCTGTGTGAAATTATTGATAATATTACATTTTCTATGTCAGCTTCAGACTAACTCTGTCAATGTCATATAATTTCATTCACTATATTTTATTGTATTTAATATATAAGGATACTAAAAATACTTCCAAAACACTTCATTAGCTACAGCATTTTTTGCTTGACAATAATTAATCTATCAGAACAATTTGTAGTCAATGCAACTACAATATCAATAACATTGCCAAACAATTATATATTGTCATTACTTTAATAGATTTATACAGCCAGAGAAAGGATTATTTTTTGTACCCGCTAAGTAGTACTTCGTTTGTCTGTATATATGCGCAATAAACAAAGCTATTGTTATTGATTTTCGCACAAAAACGACGTTGAATAATGTTTGTCATTGCGCAAGTGTAAAGTTGTATATATGCGGATATCATGCACTGTTCCCTATTGCTTCTTTACGGATTAGTGTCATGATACGATCAGACTTCTTTCATTTTGTTTAATATTTATATAACTATGTACAACTTATTACTGAATTTTCTGTTATTAGGAACAAAATGTCTATATGTGCATATCATATGTAACTGTGTTATTTATTAACAAAGACACGAGAAGGTTAAGTTTTTTTTACCGTTTTTTTTTTCTGTACTGATGTTCGATATAATATATTGTAGTACTGGATACATTAAATTTTTAATTGATTTGTAATTAATATGTAAAGTAATTTTTTGTTTTAAATTATTACATGTCAAATAATAATAGTCACAGAATTCTGAGGGGCCTTAAATTTTATAAGCATGAGAGTATATTATTTATTTATTGAACATATATTAAAAAATGTAATAAAAATACTAATATATGTCTTATATTTTATTTTTAATTTGATTCTGCGATTTAAGTTGGGAGCACCAGAGATTTGTTTCATCAATTACATTTTTAGGTCAAGTTTTGTTTGGAGTCCGATTGATTTTGTCAGATACGGTGTTCAAGGTTCGTGTTCTCTTTATTTGCGGTCTTGTTTCGCCGGCCTCTGACGCAATAGAACTTAGCTCTTGGCTTCATGGTCCTCTTTGTTATTTTGATAACATGATGGATAGACAGTTTAGGTTGTATCATAATGCATTTCTTTTATAGCTAATGCAAGGTCATGTCGGTTTGTTTAATTTTTTGTTCTCTTGCGAATGAAATGTTGTGTCCGTCAGATAAAATATAAATATACCTAATTGAGGTAAATTTAAATTATATTAATATTTATGTGGATTTTAGAAAAGATAAAGCCATATATATATATATATATATATATATATATATATATATATATATATATATATATATATATATATATATATATATATATATATATATATATATATATATATATATATATATATATATATATATATATGTGTATGTGTGTGTGTGTGTGTGAGTAAATTCTTTAAAATAGAGATGAATCTCATTTAAATATCCACGGAAATGGAATTATGAAAATTTTAAATATTTCTACTTCAAATTATTTAAAAGTTATATACACTATCCACTAGATAGAATACATTTTTGCACCTTGTGTGGGAACTGTCTGCAATGAAATTGTTTTTAAAAGTAGATCAGATAAATCTAGTGGGAATTCGGTCGAAATATTCGAGTTTTATTGTTGTAACGATGTAGAAATGACAGTTCACAGTATTGCCAATTATTTAGCAATCTGAAATTATCCGTTTTTGTACTTTGCGTGGTAAAAGTTATGTTTATAATGTTTTATTAATTCTACTATTATGGGGTAAACTCAAGGCTGTGGCTTGTGGGTGACGTAAGAGGCATCTAAGGGAGGGCGAGGGATGGACAGCAGCATCCCTTTTAAAACATGTCCAAAGTTCTTTGGACATGTTCGCTTGGCAGGCGGATTGGCAAACTGCGGTTGCCAATCCGCCTGCCAAGCGTAGCAGCTACTGCCGAAACCCCCCAAGGGGGAGACTTAAGTTCAGACATGGACAGTTAAAGGCTGATATGATAATGTTGAATAATAAGTATGTAGAATAATAAATTATTATTATCATACTACATAATTATTAGTCTTATATAGTGACGCACAATCATATTAAATTTTAGAACTAAAATTACATTGGGGATGATACTCTATTAAATTTTAGAATTAAAATTACATTGAGGATGATACTCTATTAAATTTTAGAACTAAAATTACATTGGGGATGATACTCTGTGTTTTAAAAACTATCCAACAATTAGATGAACATGTAAAAGGAAAATTTTTAGTTTGATTATTAAAACATTTGTTTCTTGCTATAAATATTAAAATAATATTCTTTAATTGAAATTCGTAATTTTGTAATTAATAAGGATGTATCAGTTTTAACGTTTAAAAACGGATTTTAATAATTTGTAACCAAAAATCCATAGTCATAAAAACTTTATTTAAAACTGATTACATATTTGACCCATCGGAAACAAAGACCAGAATCAATTTATTTATAACAAGATTTTTATATAAATGTTCTATCGACAGCTTATACTTAATCCGATAGATCTAAAATTTTAGGAATTGGTTCCTTTGATGACTTGACCATCTACTAAGAAAGTATATTTTGAAATTACAATGAGAACTACAGGTAATCGATTTATATATCTGGTTTTTGATAGTCACAGCATATAAATAACAAAAACAAAGAACTATCAGATTTAAATATAAAATTATTAATATTTTTAATTAATATATATGTGTGTGTGTGTGTGTGTGTGTGTGTGAGTAAATTCTTTAAAATAGAGATGAAAAAAATTTTAAGTTTTATTAATATTTTTAATTAATGTGAAAAAAATAGTTATTAATATTTTTTTCACACTGTGACGGTATTTTAGGTCTTCTTACATTATAAACAACATTATAGAACAATGTAATAAAATTTATCTCTATATTATTATTCATCTGTATATATTCATTTCGCATAAAGATCTTCTAAGGGCACGTGTTAACTACATGGCACGGATGTGTGCCCACATGATTCAGTATTTAATTGCTATTAGCACGTGGTCGGGTAACATGTTTGAAAATCACCTGTGAACCTAATAATAAAGTTAAAAACTATAATTTTATCATAAACTCCTTAAGGACGCAACTTCGATCATGTAATATCTTAAATTAATTAGTGAAAACAATAAGAATATTAGTA